ATTTATTTTTTTTTCTTTTCAGATCGTTTTAAGGATTGCATTAATTTCCAACGGCATTTCACAATTCACATGTTTCAATTCAACTAATATTCGAATTTTAAGCAAACTGTTAAAAGTTTTTAAAAAAAGAAAAAGCGAATTGGCCGTGATTCTATTTGGTTTGAAGTGAATAAACCACCAGTTTATGGCAGGCCGTTTTATCATAAAATCAGCTTATTCTGATTACCTGTAATTACTTCTAAGATATAAAAGAACAGTTTTGACCTGGAATAATTATTTTGACTATCCAGAATGATACCTTAAGATATCTGAATGTATATTGTGACAAGTGAAAAAATAACAATTCAAGATATCTTCAACCACATTATGGAGAATCAAAATGCCTTTTGAGAAATCTCAAATGAGGTCACCTGATATGTCATTTAAAGCTGCAGTCTGTAACATTGAGAAGAGAGCAGACTTTGACTGAAAATTTTTTGCAGCGGCAGTTTAAGCGGTGAGGGGGGGGCATAGGGACAGTTTTAGCCAATATGACAAAAAAGTGATTTTTAAAAACTTACAGACTTCAGCTTTAAAGAGACACACATCCAGAATTATAATCAAGATGTCTCAAAGTAAATTTTGACTAGTTAAAAGTACATTTTTTTATATCAAGCATCCTACCTTATTGTCCACATTACATCGTAACGCATGGCTGTAGCAAACAGGAAGTTGAGGCTGCAATGTAGCACGGATCACAGACCAGTAATGGAGCAAAGTTTCAATATGGTGTTGCAATCGGGGAAGCTGTTCTTAATTTACCGTGTCAGTTATAGCGATGTTGCTTCCAGCCATGATTACCCTCATAACAGGAACATCCAGGAAGCCGGCGACATCAGAACCAGCTGATTGGTCATGTAAGTAAAAGTTTGCTACATCAGAGCTGATTTCAAAGAGGTGTTTCCATTTCCCGTTTTGCGCTATAACTATTTTGCGAATTTTAGGGAATTCAAGTTTTGCTGTTTCCTTCAAGCTTTTCTGATGCGATCCTTTAAAAAGCACATTGGAGATGAAACAATTTGGACCATTCTAACTGCCATGAAAAAGTTGGATGTTAGTTGCATATCAACAAAGTAGTCGGATTTGTTTCAAATTTGCCCGCAGAGTAAAGGTAGCGAAAGTCCAGACCTTCTGTAACATCTGTAAAAAATTTTAAAATTTACAAAAAATCTGAAACATTGACACTTGAAAAATAGAATCGGACAATTTCAAATGTCAAAAATGTTTTTCAATGTTTTCACAAATGAATATGCAGGTGAAGGTTCCCAGTCACCCAGGTCATAGTCATTCCAAAAAAATTAAAAACAATCCATTGGACTTGGTTTCAAAAATTAATAATTTCAAAAAATAAAATCTTTAAAAAAAAGTTACTCTGAAACTTATTTTTTAATAAGACATTTTTTAAAGTTTTATATCTGGAATACAATTTTTACACATTTCTTTTTACAAAATCCGTTTTCTTTTTTGCGTTCTGCCTGCAACAATAATGGAGCAAAATTCACTCCATATAGATACCCCCCAAAATGTACAAGTCAACCAAAATATTTAAGTGCTGGTTGTTTATTTTTAGGTTTCCTTAGTTTTACTTCAGATTTACTTGTCCTTTTTTAGGCTAAGTGCTATTAGGCCTATTTTTTTGCCACTTGGGGGAGAGTTGGCCTAGTGGTTAGAGCAGTGGCTTGTGCTTTGAGAAGATTTCAAGTATTCGATTCGTTTCCCACAGCCAGGGGCGGATTTAGGCAATTTGGGGCCTTAGGTAAAGACAGGCAGGGGGCCCCCTGAGAAGAAAACCCATAAAACAGACCCATTCTACAGATACAGAAATGTTAATAGAATAGACATCCATTATTTGTTCTAGGTTTTGTCCCTAAAACTTTGTATCAATTTGACTGTATGATCTGGTTGAACTGTAAAGTGCCTTGAGATGACATGTGTTGTGAATTTGGCGCTATATAAATAAACTGAATTGAATTGTCCCTTTTTCCTCTCTATTTATCAGCATTCTGATGGCATTTTAGCCAAAGGATTTTTATCAAAAACATAATTAATGTGCACAAATAAGGAATAGTTGTATTAACTATACATGTAAACAGAGTTTTATGGGCCCCCCATGAACTTGGGGCCCTAGGCAACTGCCTAGTTTTGCCTAATGGTAAATCCCCCCCTGCCCACAGCCTGCACTCTGGGTTCCTGAGCATAACCCTTAACCCCACACTGCTCCTCGGGCGCCGCACAATGGCAGCCCACTGCTCCCCAAGGGATGGGTTAAATGCAGAGTGAATTTCCCCATTGTGGAACAATAAAGGGATTTACATAGTGGGCCTATTTTTTGCTACTTCACAAGTTTCTAAAGGATACCGATTCACTGGGATGTGGATTCTTTTTTTTTTTTTTTTTTTGACTCCTTACATACGTTTTTTTTTATGTTTTAACTCAAAGGTGAGTCTTTTTCTGCTCCTACCTGGATCACTGTCCTCGATCGCCCTATTCATACATCGTCTGGCTTTGATTCAGATGGAACTAAATTGTTTCTTCACACTCTCCCCAGCCAACGTAGTGAAGATGAAGAAGGCGAGATGGATCAGAGAAGAGAGGATTTTGCAGAGCACAGAATGTCCTGTAATGGTGCTCACCATCTCACAGCTGATTGCCAGCAGGTCCCCGGGCAGTTTAGCATCATGTGACTTTGTAATGAACCTAACAGATAAAACACCACTTAGGAAAAAGTTTCATGCAGCAGGGGATGTCTAAATTCTCTCTTCTTTTAGGTTGGATATGTTTTTGGATTAGCTAGAAATATCTAATTACAACAAATAATGCAAAAAAATGAACTCTTATTTCATTTCCTGTATTATTATCCTGAACTGACCTGCCTGTGAGGTTGTTTATTGTTAGTTTTTGAATGGAAAGAAAAGCAGGACTACAAACAGCCTCACTCCAGCTTTTATTTCTATTTTCTTTTTTATTATAACTGGTCAGACTGATATATTCTATGTTAGGAAATCATGTCTCTGCAGCTCTAGCAGTGGAATGCAGAGATGCAATAATACACACTCTCTGTAGACCTCTGCTGACAAACAGGGGAAACTGCAAAGCAACAGGAAGCCAAATTGTGACGGAGGAAGAATCAACTGCATGTGGATATAGGGCTGGGCGATATAGAAAAAAAGCTTATCGATAAAAAAAATGCATATTGATCGATATCGATAATTATTGAAAAGATTTGAAACCATATTTTATGTGCAGCTCTGCCTGGACTTTTTATAATATTGCTAAATGATTTAATTTTAATAAAAAACACAAACACAGACTTCGAATTAAATCTTTATTTAACCAACTTTTTTAACCATAACAGAATTGTTTTAAAGAAAAATAACTTAAGAGACCTGAGTTATGTTATTAAATACTGACAAAGAATAAACTAAAGTGACCAGAAAAGTGACCAAAATAAATATAACAAATAAATAAATAAATTTTTATCGAACTTTTATCGACCCTCTTTTTTTCTATTACGCCACACGTCTATCGATCGATATATATCGTTACTGAATTATCGCCCAGCCCTATGTGGATATTCTTGTTATTTAGGAATTAATCAAAACGCCTGCACTGAAAATTACCTCCAGAGTTTCTTATTAAATAGATTGGCACCAGCCAAGTCACACAGGAAATGAGGAGTGGGACTTTGATTTGAATCCGACTTGGTATGTGTAGAGGAGGGGGTCCTCCAGGTGCTAAAAAACATCGGCGTTCCAACTACAGGTTGCTCTGGTTCAAGCCGACAGAATTGACAAAGGCTCCTGGATAGTGTTAACAGTATTTCATGAATCACTGAAGGTTCATTGCCATTTTAAATCTTTTCTGTGGTTGCCATGACCTGGATCACTGTGAATTTGCACAAATATTTCTATCTAAAACATCTATTTTTAAAATCACAAAATTCTGGAAATTGTATGTATTTTTCACCTAATTATTTTTCTGTTTATAATCCACACCACTGAAAAATAATCACCAGAATCAGATAATCTTTAATTCAGTTACTTTTTTCCATTTTATTTTCCCCTCTAATGCTGGTTTTGACTTCTGTACTTAGTTTAAAAACTGACATCAAGACAGAGCTTGACCTTATCAATCCCATTTCAGATTTTTTTAAGCCCATGTCTGGACAGGAATATTAATGAACTGGCATAGCAGGGTCATAGAATTGAAAATAAAAAAATTGTAGTGCAGTATTTTTTTTTTCTCATGGTATAATTTCTGAAATGTGCAGCACTTGATTAATCTGAAGCTAGGCGTAGATCTTTTTTTCTTTGGCTCTTTTTTTCATTAGCTGAAACAATACAATACATAGGCAAAGTTGTAGCTTAGATCCCTTTAATTGTGACTGAATTATAAGGTTTATTTTGAGCAATCCATAATTTAGGCAATAACACACTCTGAATAATTGTATCTTTTGAATGAGCATACACTGAAGCATCAAAGAATTCATACCAATTGCAAGATTTTGTTAAACTTTAAAGACAAATTTGCATTTTTCAATTTGTTAGGGTTAATATTTATGAGTGTCAACATGAAATAGAACTAGCAGTAGGAAAACAACTTATTTTGGATAAATTGTTAATTAAATTAATTAACTATTGAATTTATATTGTAAATATGTTTCATGTAAGTATTTTTTGCCTTTTCAGACTGTTTTCAGGCGTTCCCACAATCCATGGCAGGCTACTAATAGCATGATAGCAATTTAATTATAAGATTCTATAAATCATAATTTTCAAGTATGGTAATGTTTCTAACATTAAAGAATGTTGTCTCCTCCAGACCATAACAAAAGGTTGAAAATCCAGGTTCAGAAGGTAAATGTCCCCACTTCATTTTGATTCTCAGACCTTACCAATATGGCGACCTTAATAACGCCCTATCGACGTTGCATTATACGTATGTGCTTTAACTATCGCGGGATTCAGGCGGTCAATGCCTGATATGAATAATGGCCGCCTTCGTAGCGATGGCCGGAACGGAAAATAACACAAAAGGCATGTTAGAGGTTTTCAGTTGACTGGAAAGACTGCGAGGCGCCGGTTAGCCCTTCCTACCCCCTTTACCGGACGGATGGGTGGAGGGGGTTTCGCCAAAAGATACAAGAAACGAAAAGAGACTTTAAAGGAGTATAGTGAAAGCTAAGTGGGGAGCTAGCGCTAGCTGGCTAACAACACAGTTGTCACTACCGGGGAACGAACCCGAGGAACCACAACAGCTGTGTGTCGGAAGGCCTGAATGAAACGGTGACTCCGCTGACTGATCAAACCGCCGGCCTGTCGCTAATATGAGCGGACCGGGTCAGGACAGCGAGCCTGAGGCGAAAGTCCTGCTTATAAAGCGGCTTTACAGGTGAGGAAGAGGCCGTCTACGCTAGCTAATAATGTCTTCTACCTGTCTGATTATTACTAATATTGATGATTATCTGGAGGTGTAGCGGAAACTACACCGAAATCTGTCGGTGGGGGGGTCGTTTTTTTTTCACAGACAAACGTTAAACTATCTGCTGTCTTGTTGATGCAGAGAAGTGAAACAGAAATGAAAGCTTTTGATATTTCAGAACAAACAAGCTCCTGTTTCTCGTTATCTACTAACGCTTCCTGTCCAGGGCTGTGGTGGAATCTGTGCACAAGCTGGATGTCATCATCGGCAGCAAGTCATCGTACAGAGAAGTCTTCAAGCCGGAGAACATCAGCCTCCGGAACAAGTATGTCCGGCTCCATTACTCATCTCTAGTCATAGCAGCTCTACCGGCTGAATTATTACTGCTGTTTGCAGATGACAGGTTCACTACGTTGCCTTTCAGGTTGGGATTGGTCTCATTTTGTAGTAAAGTGGCAGAAGAAAAGCAAAGCCATGATGTGTTCTCCTTTAACTAAATCTACAGATATTACATAAAAGATAAATTAACTCAGATATCTGATACAGCTGTGATTCTGAATACAGGATTGCTGTAACCCCACCTACTCCTTAAGGGCAGATTATACTTCTGCAACCTCACACATCAAATGTCGCTTGGATCTGGTCGCAAACCAGTTTTGCTGGTCTGCTTCTGCACTTTCGGTGTGGAATTTCTAGGGACGCACAGCTGTTTCCTGCCAAAGCGCAAGGGGGAGCCTATTCGAGAACTTGCAAGAACTTCAGTGGATGGTCACGAGAACTTCAATGGCGCCTGCCGGAGTGTTTATCTTTCAAAACAACAATGGCGCATCTGCAAGATATCACGGTCACAGAGATGGATCTAGGGTTGCTAGACATCCAAGAGGAACAGGTTCTGCTGACGGAGCAAACCTCCTCGATTAACCTTACATCTTAGTTGTCCATTGTAGTTGTTCCTCAGGTTTTAAAAATGGCGTGCCCTGACACTGCATCGAGAAGGACGAGCACACAGACAGCCAGAAAAGCATACCTAAGACCAATCACAGCTGCTTTTTGTCTGTGCACTTCCACTTGAGGTCTGCACGGGTTTGCGACCGTCCAACGTGTTGTCAGGATTTATTTGAGGTGCGTGATGATGGTTGCAGAACCTCTGCGTGGGGGGCGTGGTCGCACACAGAGGCAGATTTGACGGTTGCAGAGACTATGTGTCAGAATCATAAATTGGCCTTTAGATTATTAAATAAGGCACTGGGATACTACAGAAAATTATATCCTTTGTAGATGACAGGGGAAAAAATTGGTAAATATCTGCAAAACAAAAAGCAAATCCTCCTGGTGCAGGCTTGCCATGAACGCTTCGGACAGGAGCCGCCTGAACCCCAGATTCCACATGCTCCTTAGGCGCTTCACTCCACCCCGCTCACGTACAACCTGGTTTATGCTTAGAAACAAGGTCGTCTACGTATGCTTTGCAATTAAAGGGCTGGTTATCCTTCCGCAGCAGTGTGTCTCAGTGAGCTTGATATTTTTGGTATATGCCCAATATTAAAGCGTGGTCTGCGCTATGCTATTCCACGCCACAACGCAAGAGGGACAATTACCAACTAGCTGTGGGTCTAGATACGGCCGAGGCGGTGAGGAAGTGGGGACAAGGGTCCCAGCTTTCTCACGCACTTCGATCTTCTATCTGGTTCGTCTTGATGAGTCATTTTTCACAATTGCGGTCTTACAAACAAAACAAGCCAGTAAGGTACCAAACAGGAAATGCGCATAGTGTAGAGCGGATGTAGATTTGACCAATCAGAGGCCTCCTATCTGCGGTCACCTACAATTTTGGGGAGGTGCACCAAAGTGTCTGCAGAAGGGGACCGCAGACAGTGCTGCAGATGGCTTCGCTGGGAGGAGAGAAAGCAGGCCTCTGATTGGTCGATTCTACACTAGTGGCTTGGTTTTTTTCGACAGTAGGCTGACAGGAAAGGGTGTATGAGATAAAGGAAGAGACATGCGGCAAAGGACCACGGGTCGGATTTGAACGAGGGTTGGCTGCGTCGAAGACTAAGGCCTCCGTACATGGGTCGTGCACGCTAATCGCTGTGCCACCTGCACTTCCATAGTCAATGCTTTCTGCTTCGCATTGTTCATGTAACTCCTCCTTCATAATGCAGTGCCCTGTGACATCTATGTTATTAGTAAACGCTGTTGGGTAGCAACAGCCTATGGCAACAGCGGGCCGCTGTGACAGCAAATCCCATAGTGCTTTGCGAGGAGAGCTCTCTGTGCAAAGCATTCTGGGATATGTCTGCCTCTTCTGAGGCCTTTCTTTTCTTCTCATACACTTCATAGACAGTTTTTCTCTTAAGACCCTTGGCCATTTTCTAAGAACCGCAGTGAGAAAGGTGAGCTTCAATGACTGTCTGAAACCGTAGCTAAAGATGGCTAACGGTTCGAGCACGTAGGACAGCCTTAAACAAACACATCACCAGAAATATTGACATTTAGGAGGACCACTTATTTAGATGATCCACCTGGAAATAAACGATCGTCCTCCATACTTTTAACTGATGCTAACACGCTTGCTTTTTTGTTTTTGTTTTTTAGCTTACTTAATGAATTTTTATTTATTTTTTTTAAATCGTAAGCGAAATCCATAAATAAAAATAAACATTTTTAATTAATCAGGATAACTGTTGTTAAAAAAAAGAAAGAATTCTGAATTTAGTTAGGGAATATAAGTACCGGTATTTTTTTTTATGTCATCCGACTTTCAATAAATCAGCAAATAAAATAAACGTTGTTGTATCTATGTTAGGGGTTAATGGCAAACAGTTACTAGGAGAAAAGAAAATGCTTCCTTTGGGCCACATGAGCTTATATGATTTTTTTTTTAATGACTTGACCCCTTTCTGCCTCTTTTGTAAAAAAAATTCTTATGATACATTAAACAACAAGCATCACCAAAAACATTATACAGGTCCAAAGAGCCTGAAGGGTTCATTAGGGATGGATCAGACTGACATTATGAAAACCATCAACTTGCATTAAAGGGATCAGCTTCTGTATGATGTTATGAAATAAGTTCTAAAGCATTTAAAGTCTTTTTCCCCAATCATATTAGCAACATTTTGGTTTTATGTGTGCAACCTAATTTTACTATTGAATTTCTAGCTGTTGTGCTTAAAATTTCATCACCAAATCAGACGAGGCAAGTTTATTTATATAGTAAATTGTAGTTGTGGGCAGTTCAAAGTGCCTACATTAAAGAAATAAAATGCTGAAGTGGCATAAAGGTGATAGAGACAACTAAGAAAAAAAAAACCCAAAATGATTTATAATATATCCTCAGAAAAGTGTGACTGCAAATGTGACTAATATTGTTTAGCTCAGTCAAACGCCATTCTAAATAAATACGTTTTAATCTTGACTTGCGGCACCTGAAGGGTCCAGAAATGTTAGCGTTTTATGGGAATTTGATTTCAGATTAATCCAGGATAAAAACTTTATGCTGCAGGATATTAGCTAAACCTTCAATGTGGAATATTGCAATGGAAATATCTCTTGATATATGTGAATACATTTTGATGGTGCATCTGTAAAGTTTTTACTGTGCCAAATTTATGTTGTGGACTTATCACAAAAGTTGACAATTCATTTTTCTATTAGATAATTTTTTTTTTTCATCCAATTAAAGGTAAAGGGGGAATTTTCTTTTTCTGGGGGGATTATCTAAATAAGTGGTCTTCCTAATTGTCAATCATTCTGGTGATATGTTTACGTAAGGCCGTGCTACGTGCTCGTCCCCATTTTCACTTACCGGAGGTGAGTCTGACATAGTGCGTCATGGTTCCTAGTTTTCAAACCCGCATGCAGAGCTCACTAAGGAGACTGGTAAGGCAGATTTACGATTGTTTATTTTAACAACACAAAAAAAAAAAAAAAAAATGATACGCAGAGTTTCTTTGCGGTGTAACTAAAGGAGCATGAGGCACACTGCAACGGAGAGCCAGAGTCCTTAAAGGCTTAAGTGCTGTGTATACTCCTGCAGCAGTGTGTCGCAGGTATGATGCAGATATTTTCGATTTATGCTTAATTTTAAAGCCTGGTTTGCGTAATGTTATTCCACCCCACAACGTAGCGCTGCATGTTTTTGCTTTGGGTGCAAACCAACAGACCGTCGCAGTAGCGTCCTGCAAGGTGCCTGGGATAGTGTAAGAGGTGGACCAGGCGTTGTGGACGGCACTACAGCCAGAAATTCTGCCATTACCCACACAACCCATGTGGGAAAACATCTCGGCTGACAAGCCTATAGTGTAGAGCAGGCGTAGAATTGACCAATTAGAGGCCTCCTTTCTCTCCTGCTTGTGACGCTATCTGCGGCACTGTCTGTGGTCACCTACAATTTTGGGGAGGTGCACCTGAATGTCTGCGGGGGGTGTGGGGTGCGAGTGTGTATATGGAAATTAGAGCTTCCTTTGCTGCACCATCCATTATATAAATCTATGGTCACTCACCAGTTCACCTGCCAACGTTAAGGTGGTCATTTGTTTGTTTAATGTATGTTTTTGTTCTTCACAGGCTGAGAGAGCTGTGTGTGAAGTTGATGTTTCTTCATCCCGTCGACTATGGCCGCAAGGCTGAGGAGCTGCTCTGGAGGAAGGTTTACTATGAGGTCATCCAGGTTATCAAGACAAACAAGAAGGTAAAAACTCAAAAAATAAAATGTTTCCTATGAGCCTGACCAGGGGTCTGAAGCTTGAACGAAATGGGGACTGAAACTTGCTTACTTGACTTTGGCTGGTGATTACCTTAAAGGAATAGTACACCCAAAACATGATTAGCCTTCATTTTCTACTCACCCCCATGCTGAACAACACTCTGGAGTACTTTTTTGATATCTCAAATGCATCTGGAGATCTGGGAGGCTTCTTGCTGTCTGCTGACATTCAAATAATGGAGGTCCATGGTGCCCGAGACAGAAAGGTCCATAAAAGTCCACAAAAAACGTGTCAATATTCCTCCATACTGCTCGTCCAATGTATTCCAAGTGTCCTGAGTGGGTAGCATCCAGAATTTACTCGAAACGAAGTCATTTAGAATGTTTTTAGAGCATAAACAGTAGTGTATAGGATTTCCTGAAAGCGCGCACATGCGCGATCACGACGCTACGGAAGCCGGCAGACCAAACCAGATGAAAGTGCGCATTCAGCGTCTGCTCTGCCAATAATGCAAGCATAGAAGAAGAAATGTGCTGTTTACCTGTGCAAAGAAAGAAACAACGAAAGAAAAATGTCTGAGGACTTCAGTGTTGAGGAAGAGCATGAGTTCTTTGCCGAGCTGAATGTGCTGGTTTGGTCTGCCGGCTTCCGTAGCGTCGTGATCGCGCATGTGCGCGCTTTCAGGAAATCCTATACACTACTGTTTATGCTCTAAAAACATTCTAAATGACTTCGTTTCGAGTAAATTCTGGATGCTACCCACTCAGGACACTTGGAATACATTGGACGAGCAGTATGGAGGAATATTGACACGTTTTTTGTGGACTTTTATGGACTTTTTGTGGACTTTTATGGACCTCAAAATACTTCAAGCCAGACAGCTGCAAATATAGCCAATAGGTTGACTGAAGACATTAACAAATGGAGACTGACCAGCAAACACCCTGTAGTTGTTACAGACAACGCTGCAAATATGCTTTGTGCAGTGGAGATAATGCAGCTCATGCATGTCTGCTGTGTCCCCACTGTGTCATGTCGGCTGGTTCGAGTGAGGCCTTTTCACTTTTCACAATCAAGTTTGCACTTTCAAGACAGTTTTGTTCACCTCTCATGTTTAAACTGTCCGATTTACAAGTTTGCACTTTGTGTTTAATATGACAGGATAAAAAAAATGCATGAGTATTTTGAAACACAGTTGAACCACTTTCATTATGGTAAAAATCGTGTGGAAAAATTGTGTAGAATAAATCGAAATTAATCGATTTAGAACTGTATGAATCAAAATCGAATCGATTTAGGACTTTGGCCAAAATACCCAGCCCTACTCTGTGGTCATATTTAACTATCAGTGGGTTTTGGATCTCTGATGTCACTGGTGAGTTTGAATCAAGTAGATTTGAGAAACTGTTTACACATCAGTGAATTATGAGGTACACAGTCATGCTGTTGTGATACAGGTTTGTAAATTGTGTTGCATGCATGCAAAGTTTACTTTACCTTTTCAAGACTTATTAAAGGCCTGAACACAGGTTGCGTACGACTTTTTCATCTCCGATCCGATTTTTTTTTTCCATGTCACGCTGACTGTGTATAGATAGGCTCCGACTAGGCAGGGGGAGCAGATCTGCACAGATTTTTTTTTTTTTTTTTACTCCCATCTCTGTTATTTCCCACATTTGACTTGGACAGATTATTAGTCATTAAATAAATACATTTAAAAAACACAGACGCATTCTATAAAGCAAAGCCCCACTTAAAGCTGCAGTCTGTAACATTGAGAAGAGAGCAGACTTCGACTGAAAATTTGAAGAAAAACAGGTTTCACGCCACTCCCCCACCCTCTCTGCTTCACTCATGCCCCACCTCCAAGCTCCACCCCTCTCACAGCATCTGCGCGGCTACCGCATGCTACCAGAAGCGTCCAAGCAGCGTACGCGGCATGGAGTGTGAACTGGTAAGAGCGATAACACTCACCTCCAAGCAGCTAGATATAAGATGCTGGTTATACCGAAGTTTGCCGTGTGAGCAGTTGTCGGCAGGGGCAGTAAGGGCAGTTTCTCTTTCGCTGGTGGCTGTCGCTCCGCCATGACTTCCACGTGTGTCCTCCTGACTGCTGCAGCCGGGCGCTGCGGCAGGTTAAGCGGTGAGAGGGGGGGGGCGGGAATCAGCGTGGGTGAGCTGTGATTGACACTCCATCAGACGCTCCTCTGGCTGTGATTGGTTGTTTTGGCTCGTCCCGAATTATTCTTTCCAGATTGAAATACAGGCAGTATGCGGGACCAATTGAAGCAGTTTTTTTCACAGGTTACATATCACATGTACTGCTGTCTGGGCATAGGGACAGTTTTAGCCAATATGACAAAAAAGTGATTTTTTAAAACTTACAGACTTCAGCTTTAACGAGTCGGTGCAGCATCTCAAACCAGAACGGATAGAGAACGTTCGTATATTAAAAACATAATGAGACATGCGTCTAAAGAAAAGGTAAACGCAGAAATTAACGCAGTGGGGCGGTTTCTATGCTGACTGAGGCACAGAGGTGATTCTCAGAGAGAGATCTGGAAAGATTATCCAGTTTTTTTTTGTTTTTGTTTTTTCATAAAGAGGTGAGAGAGAGAGATGCTGCAGTTACCTGCTCTGTCTGCACCTCGTTTTTTTTTTGCTCAACAAGGATCACTATTTCACTATAACCCCTTTATTTCTCCTCCTGAAGTTTTTTTTTTTTTGAGATTGATAAACTGTTCTTTCTCTCTGTCGTTGTTTTTGTGAGGCTCAAAGAGGATCAATACTTTATCTGTTTTCTGTCCACCTGAACTCCCATAATGCGTAAAGTATTATTTTTTTATGTTTCATTCATTGTTTTTGCACCAGTCTGTCCCGCTTACTATATACACGATGTGTGACTCCAAAACTGACTCTTTCCCCATGCAATTAACAGATTTTATTGTATTTCCCCAAAAGTGGATATGTTTTACTTTGTAACCGTGTCTCTCTTCCTCTCGGACCAATGAAATTGTTGCGTAGTCTGACTAAAATAGACCTGGGATCTATCGCAGTCAGAGCTACGCAGCCCCCTTGCGTAAAATCGTGTAGAGTGGGATCATAACCATTGACTTTCAAACATCTCTAAACACCATGACTTCGTTCGACACGATTTCCTGTCAGATCAGATTTTGTTTTCCAGCCTTTAAGCTCCACAGGTTACCCTCATATTTAATAAGCTTGAGTAAGTTTTGCTGCACTTCACTATATTTACTCTTTCATCACATAGTTGGTACCTCAGGCTAATAGCTAATCTATTTAAGCTGATTCTGTCCAAGCTCAAACTGAACCACCGTTCGCCCTGATCATGGCTTCTCTGTAAGTAAATAACTCGGTTAAAGCAGTAGAGCTTCATGAGATTCAACTAAACATTTTAAACAGATTTTTACCTGATTTTATAACAACCTGGATCAAATTAAGATGTTCCCATTTTTTTAATGACACTAGTTTGCTAGTTTGTTTAAACTTGAAAGCTCCTGACTAAACCTAACCGGCTCGGAAAAATCTTGTTTGTAGCTCACTGAGGACGATATTCTGTCAATTGCAGTAATTTAGGTTCTTATCTTGGTTTTATATAGCTGTTTCTGTTTTTATTTTTTATTTTTTCTCTTTTAGATTTGCATATTTGGGCTAAATCCTTTTCTGTATTTCCAGCACATCCACAGTCGGAGCGCCCTAGAGTGTGCTTACAGAACTCACCTCATCGCCGGCGTGGGTTTCTACCAACATCTGCTGCTCTACATCCAATCACATTACCAGCTGGAGCTGCAGGACTGCATCGATTGGACGCACGTCACCGATCCTCTCATTGGTGAGACCTCTCCTCCAAACCAACGAATCTTTCTTTCAACGCTCAGTGAAGATCGGTGTGTTTTTGCTCTATTTCAATACAATGCGATGATTAGCCGATTGTGGCTAATAAGATCCAGATAAAAATCAACCAATCAGTCCATTTTCATTTGTTTACAACCTTCTACTGTTTTAGACTCTGTTTTAGAGTAAAATTATAAAGAGAAAACCACCTTCTGACCTCTTTGTAAAGTGATTTAAAACTGTAAAACTAATCAACACTAACCCAGCATGATGGCATCAGCAACTTTTGTTTTTTTATGACCGAAATTGCGGAAAACAACTCGCGAAGTTTGACCCGCTAGAAGATCGAGGTGCGCGAGAACGCTGGGAGCCTTTTTCCACCTGGATCTCCGCTCTTTTTGACCCTCATGTCCCTCCGTCGTCGGACTAAACTCGCCTCCACTTCCTCGCCGCCTCGGCCGTATCTAGACCCACAGTGTGTAGCACAGACCACGCTTCAATATTGAGCATAAATCAAAAATGTCTGCATCAAGCTCACTGCAACAAACTGCTGTAAGAGTATAACCAGGAAGCGAGGTAGGAGGGCAAAATAGGTTTAGCGCCACCGCAGCACAGGAGGGAGAATTACGCCCAGGAACAAATGGATAAAAATAGACCGGAGGAAAAAAAAACATGAATCGATTCTCTTGCGGACGTATCGATGCATTGGATCGTCGGCTGTTGGATCGATGCATCGATACAAAACGATTATTATTTACACCCCTACCGCTAACTTTCTGCAGTGCTCCCTTCGCACTGGTAAAAAAAGCTTAGTCTGACCCCCGCTGGTGGGGGCCTGCTGATGCCATCGTGCTGGGTTAGCGTTGATTATGTCACTATTTATGGTTGTCTGAACTTTCTCTGGGTGTTTTTCCTTTCTGTTCTTGTAAGAAGGATTTGTGTGTGAAAACTGAACATATGGTTGATCTGACTGGTCAGTTTGCTCCGTGTTAGAAAATCCTGGAAGCACACAACTACACGCCACGACGGCGCAACCTATTCACTGTTGGAGATTAGTGTTTCTTTTCTTTCAATGTGCCGAGTAGGGCTGAAACGATTCATCGAGTAACTCGAGTAACTCGATTACAAAAAATCCTCGGGGAAATTTATCTGCCTCGAAGCTTCGCTAAATTTATTGTATTGTAATAAGCAATGCTGTTAAATACGCAGCACACTGGTCTAGCCGGAGGGTTTTTGTGTTGCACAACGCTACCACTTCCGTTAGTGCCTGGAGCGCTTGTGCTAAGTTTGTAGCTATGGAGGGAACCGGAGAAAGCTCAGAAGGAGAACCCTGAAAGCGACAAAAAATGTCAAAAGTTTGGGAACATTTTAGGCTAAACAGAAAGGACAACACAGCGCAATGCATCCACTGCAAAGCAGAATTGGCGTACCACAACAGCACGACATCAATGTTGCAGCATCTGAAGAGAAAACACCCGCTACATGCATCCAACTCGTACACGGTTGCCAACAGGTAACGTTTATGTTCTCTTTGCTAACTACGTTGTGTGATAATCTGCCATGTTATAGATGTAAATTGAGGCACATTATTTTGCTAACGTTACATCTAAACATAGCGGTTACTTAACCGGGTGTAGTGTAAATTGTATGTGAGGGTGGAACTGAGAGAAATTATGCAGGACTTAATGTAAGTTTGTTAATAAAAATACGCAGCAACAGATTACAGGCAGCTGAAAAGCATTTATTTATTGGTGTCTTTCCATCCTGAAAAGTTACAGTCTTTTCTTCTCGCTACTGTTATGTATGAATTAGAAATTTTTGATTAATATTTTTTGTAGTAATTCTATATTTGTTTATACCTAAGCAATCAAGAATAAATAATAGCATCGTTTTAATAAAAATAGCAACATTTTTGCATTTTATCATGACTAGTTAAGGCTGCAGAACTCTGTACAAACTCAAACCTTTACATTTAGACATTTTTATAAGCATATTTGTGAGCCTGCCACTTTATTATTTGAATATAATTTCATATCTTATAACTTTTCTTCAGGTTAAAGCAAACTACTGTTACAAGTAAACTTTCTAAACTACAAACATTTAACTGTTATGGATGCTCAAAAAGGAGCTATTGGACTGATCTGGACTAACTGGTGTTATTGCAGATTTGCCAATAGTTTATTTTATAATTTTTTTTTATCCGATTACTCGATTAATCGTAAGAATAATCGATAGATTACTCGATTACTAAAATATTCGTTTACAACAGCCCTAGTGCCGAGTAAAACCCACATTCTAGCTTCTCAGTTAGCTTCCCTCAGTTCTGCAGAAGGTAGATGAGCTTCCCGTTTCTGAGGCTGATCAATAGCATAAGCCTCAATCAGGACCCACAGCCAATTCCTGGGATTTAAAAAGGAACATCCCCATCAGGAACATTGTGTTACACTAATAATTAGAACAGGTAAAAGCTTTTTCAAACGAGTTTCTAAAGAAAATGTCATGCTGACTCTTCTTTGACGTGGATTATAAATACTCATTTTTTATATCTGCTAACAGTATAGTAGGGTTGTCAAAAGTATCGAAACTCAAAAAAGTATCGATACTGAAATGTTGTATCCGGATACAATACTCGTTTTTATAAAGTATCGATACAGTGCCGTCACCAGTGGCACCTAAGCAGTCATTCATCTAAAGTGCAGAATAGAGGACAATGCACTTTCTGAACACTGTGTGATTGAATAATTCTCTGCACTTTTCAGTTTCAGACTTTTTTTTTGTAACAGGTGCAGCTGCTGAGAATTATTTTTGTTTCTTAACTGGTTTGGCTAGCATCATTGTTATGTGTGCAAAGCATAGCCAAGGAAGGAACACTTAATTTGAATTTTATAAGTTTTTTATCAAGCTTGCTTAATATTATGCACAGCATACAACCTTTATTGTGTTTATTTATTGTATTTTATTTATTAATGAAAATATTTCTGTTGAATTTTGGAGTCTTTGTTTTTATCCTTGTGGTATCGAAAATGGTATCGAGTATCGAATATTTTCTTTAGTATCGGTATCGAGTTGAAAAGTTTAGTATCGTGACAACCCTACAGTATAGAGTATTTCCTGTCAATTTAAACTCTAAAACCGATCACATTAAGTTCTGCAGCCTGATGCGTCTTTTAGTTTCTGTCCTAATCTTCATAGTTCTTCATACCTCGGCCCGTCAACTATTGAGCTGCTATAAGTGGAAAAGAGACACAAACAACTGAAGCTGAGGAGCCTTAACAGCACATTTCTATTTCTGTTTTTTTTTTTTTTTTTCTGGATGTAAAGCTCTAATAAACTTTTACACACCTAAGAGGGAAACTTGTTTTTTGAGAGGAGCTAAATTTGCCACATGGCCTCAGTTGAGTCATTTTTTTGTCACTGTTCTGTTTTATTTTCTTTAAAAAAAAAAAAAACTCTTCAATGAAAACTTCTGGCTAATGTTTAATTAGGGTTATAGGTTTATTATTTAATCTTCTAACAAGCTATAAACCGATACTTCAGCCGCCTGCTCCTTTATGGAGGGAATTTTGTTCCTTTATTGTCAGAAGCAAAGAGCATGTTTTGTAAATAGAAATTTGAAAAATGTCCAAACCAGTAATGTAACTGAAAAATCAAAAATAGGTTTCAAGAGTACTTTTACTGATATCTTAATTTTTCCCTTTTATTTATCTGTTTTCCTTTTTTTTTTTCGAATTTCTTATGAAGTTTTACTAATAGCATTCTTTTCAAATCGCATTTCATAAATCCTAAGTTCTTCTCTTCAAGCCCAACAGAAACGCTCTACTGGTCGCACACATTGGCCAATTTAAATGTTTTTGCTCATGTCCGTTCACGTCAATCTTCACTCCTCCCCCTGAATTGAAAAGAACCTGATCTGTAAAACACATTTTAAGAATTATGCAATTTGTCAAACTCAATCTGAAAAAGAAAAAATATAATTAATAAAAATAGTGGGGGGAAAAAATCTGGAAAAACAGCAAAACTTTTTTTTTTTTTTTTTTATTAAAACAGTTTTTCTTTTGTGTGGTTTGAATTTTTTCGAATGTCAACTTAAAAAAAAAAGTGTTCTTTAAATGCAAAAGTAATGAAAAAAATTCACTCCATACCAGGAAATGGAGAAAGAACAATCGTAATCTGGAGTTAAAAATCAATCTAAAAAACTGCAAAAGCGCGTATCAGAGACCATTTAGGCTCATGTCAAAATAATCTTATTTGAATTTACTTTAAAATAACTATCGGTCAATCAGAATCAGAAATGCTTTATTTATCCTTTGCAGGAAATTATTTTCTTGCAGTGCAGCCACAGAAGGCTGAAAAATAAGATCGTAAGTAAAATAGAGGACAATAAAATAATATAAGTAGGCAGAATAGAATAAGTAAAATCACAATTTCAAAAGAAAACAAAATTACAACCTACACAGTAAAGTTGCACCCTTCCCAAATAAACAGTGTGAAATAAGACATAAGAATACAATAAGATAAGGTCTATCTGAACTGATAACCAGTGGTTAGATATTATTGAAATGATGAATATATGCCCTGGTATCCTTTTGGACCGTAGATCTAATTGTTTCTAATCTGCTCGTTTCCAACAGGTCGAAAGAAGCCGGTCTCCGCCTCGCCCAGAGAGATGGAGTGGGCTCAGATGGCCTGTCATCGCTGTCTGGTCTACCTCGGAGATCTGGGTAATAACACGTTAATACTGTATTTAATCAGCTCCTGACTCTCCCATCCCTGTAAAGGAGTGAGGCAGAGGGTTTTATCCAGCGTGGGAAAAAATTGGCTTCATAATACAGAAGTAACTGAGAACAGGCTGTGTTTGGTGTGAGGTTTTCTTCCAATTATTTAATATGTGAAAATAGTTTTATGCTTGAGGTGTATTTTTATTTGGAAACTAAAAAAAGACTGGAACTACAGTTTTAATATCTTATTTTCACGATTTATGCTGTTTTTGTATTATTTTGATTCTGTCTTCAGCTCGCTATCAGAATGAACTTGCTGGAGTAGAAGCTGAACAGCTGGCAGAGAGATTTTACCACCAAGCCTTGTCTGTAGTGCCCCATGTTGGTGAGTCTCTTCAAGGCTTTATGAAAACCTCCTACTTTGATTTGGCAAGAAAACAGCAGGTTTAAAGGTACGCATGTTGTGTGGAGGAGGCCTGAGCCACATCGCTTTGAGCTGCTGCCTCAGAGAACATTTTTGTCAAATAGAAATTAAGTTTCACTTCTTTTAGACTAGAAATTTAAATGTATTTGTTTAGCACATAAAAACACATGTTGAAAAAAGTGCTGCACAGTTCAATGGAATAAAACACCGATGGGAACAATAAAAATCAATAGAAAACTAAAACAAATACCATATTTTCCAGACTAATCCATATTTTTTTTTAAAGTGGTGTTTTTTTTAAAGCCGCCTAAAAACCTAATTTCTACATTTGTTAATATAACTTTCTCTGTATTCCATTTTAACTGAACAATAGCTTAATCTACAGGGTTCCTGCGGGTCCTTAAAAAGTCTTAAAAGGCATTGAATTCTTCAAAATAAAACTAAGGCCTTAATTGGTATTAAAATGTCTTAAATCAGTCTTTCGTAGGTCTTAATTTTAAAAACATAAATAGGATTGTTTTTATTATGATTTCTTTTTGTAATCAAAATAAGACATTAAAATTGACCTTTTTTTTTATTTAAAAAAAATAATAGCTCGCCATTATTGGTTAAGTCCCGATAGCGGAACCAATAAAAGCGTTGTTGCGGCCGGGACATTTGGGAGATGCGCTATTTTATTTTTGTCTGGAAAATATGAGCAAGTGTAAATGTAACCAAAATTGTCTCCAGCCAAGCGTTTTCTCCATGGCTAAAACCAGGGAACATACATGAGGCTCAGTGGATTTTGTGCAAGAAGTCATTCAAGCTCAGAACGATGGGAATTAAGGCAGTGGAGTCGCACATGCGAAGCACGAAACACAAAGCGTCAAAATGGAGTTACAGAGAAACAGCCGGTATTTCTCAGTTTAGTTCCACCCTTGTCTCTGCAACGCCTCCACTTATCACCAAATCAAACATACTAAGAAAACCATACAAAGAAAAATAGCTGCAAAAAAGACTTAGCACTGGTTATGTTGGGGCTTTAAAACTGATTTGTTTTGTTCCCTGCTAAAACAAAGTTTGTGAATTCAGTTTAATTGTTAAAATATATCTGTCATTTGTGTGTTTTTAGCTTTCTTCCTGTATGGGAAGCTTTTCAAAGTTTGAAACATTAGTGCAGTGGTTTATGTTAAAATAAACCTTTGGGTTAAGTTTTCGCAAGCAGGTTTTTCTTGTGTTTCTTGTGAATTTGGTCTTAAATTTTTATTTCAAGTGGCATTAAAGTCTTGAATTTAACTTGCTGTATGCTGTAGGAACCCTGTCAAAGATGTAAATTGTGGATTTTGACTAAACAGATGTTAGCAGCAGCCAAGTATACATCATCCTTTGCGACAACGTGATTGGCCAGCCCGTTTTGGTCGATTTTTGAGCGGTTGAGGTTGGGATGGGAAATGGATTTATTCTCATGTGAATTTAAGCAAAGAAAATCAGCTTTCAGGCCAGGTTAAAGCCGCACTATCTGTTATTAAATTTCCCCATATCTAAAATGGATCAAGGTTTATAACGCCCCGTTTTAAACATTAGTTCTAAATATTAACCACCTTTTTTCACAGGAATGCCTTTTAACCAACTGGGAACACTAGCTGGGAGCAAGTTCTACAACGTTGAAGCAACCTACTACTACTTACGATGGTGAGGGTTGATTTCCAGTTTAAGCCAGATAATCGAAAAACAAGAGGATTAACGGATCTTTATTCTGACCGCAGCATCCAATCAGATACTCCGTTTGAGGGCGCCTATGGCAACCTGAAGCGCCTGTTCGACAAGGCAGCCAAGATGTACCACCAGGTGAAGAAGCAGGAGATGAAGAAGCTGTCCCCGTCCCGCCAAAGGTGATGAGCGCTGTAAAGGTTATTTTTTTCACCCGAAACTCTTTAGTTTTTTTAAGCAAATGGGGGAAATTTTACAGGTTTTAATTGGCTTTCTCAGGTCCTAAATTTATTTTACCTGAAAAAGGAAAGTGTGTTCCATTTCCACTCAGTCATCAATTCTCCACCTCAGTCAGCATCTGCAAGTCCGGACAAAATAAAATGATTTAAACACCTAAAAAACATGAATTAAGATGAGATAACTGTCCAGAAAAGTAAAGAAACAAACCACTGCACTTCTTAATTGAAGGTTTTTCAATTCAGAACGTGAATTAGAATTGAATAGAAATTTAGAAGCATGTCTAAAAGAACAGCATTCCTTAAAAAAAAGGGTTTAACACACTTACACAGTTCCATAAGAGACTATATGAAAATAAATGAATTAAATACATTAAGATTAACAATTATATAAGCAGCGTCTTAGTAATAATATTCCCTTTTCTACAAAAAACTGACAACAATGAGAACAAAATGGTTTTACATCTGCTGGGCTATTATCCTTTTCCCACTGGCCGAAAACACCCATTTAAACGGGGGAACTATCGGCTTCTAGTGGCAGTGGGAACAGCTCACTGACACATGTCTGCTCGCGTGAAACGACCCACGTTAAAATTGAAAAATTGAAATTGAATTGAGAAATTTACATGTTACATCAGCTCAAATAGTCACAGGAGAAGAACAAGATGCAAAAGGAAGAAAAAGGCGCACGGGATATATACAGTATAAACAGTGCGTCCATGTATGACAGCTTTTCAGCTCGGCTCTGATCAGCATGCTGTGGGAACACCAGAGATGTGTCGACCCGCTAATTTACATGATACCGTTGAACGTAATGTATTGACGTCAACACATTGCGCCAGCCACGTCTGATCCAACAAGCAGAAACGACATGGAGCAGCTCTGGTGAGAGGGATTACAACAGATAATAGAGCAAAACAATAAATCACATTGACTATGCCCTGGCTTCCTTCCATGTTGCTCTCCATTGTTAAATTTCCTGATTTATCGCACATCATCAACGCTATCCTAGCATGATGGTGTCACCAGAAACGCAGCAGCGCAGGGAACAGAGGCCCCGCTGCTGCCAGCGAGGGGTTAGATCGGCTTTTTTGCCAATGGGAAGGGAGCTAAATGCTGATTGTTAGCGGGTCGACCCTAACCTGACTCCGCCAGATGGATTTGCTGGATTTGCTCCGCATATCCATTAGGGGTGTGGGAAAAAATAATTTTGGCGATACATCGTGATTTTTGGCTGCCCAATATTATATCGAACTTTCAGTTCCTAGTATCGATTTTTTTCAAACAAAAAATATTTTAGCTAAAACAATGAGGGAAATTGGGCCACCTCTGCACCGCTACACTGGCAGATAGTGCTGCGGGGCCCTTTTGCTGTTTGTTGAGGCAGTCACAGAGGAAGATGGGACTAATTCAAACCCCAAACATCATGGATACCAAAAAAAGTAAATTATCAATATCTTCTGATGAACATATACAGCACCTGCTTTTTTATCTCTAGATTTAATTTGACAGCAGGGAAAAATATTGCAATATATAGTGATGTAGCAATATGGTGATAATATCGTATCCCGACCCAAGTATTGTGACACGTATCGTATTGCAACACCCATGCCAATACTCACCCCTAATATCCATCTGGAAACCTTCCGTTGAAGTAATTTTGGGAAGGGGCGAAAATACTGGTTAGCTGATTGGCCTATGTTGGTGATAGACGGGCCAAATAAACCAATCAGATCAATGTAGCATATAACGTACTAACAGAGCGACGACGAAAACATAACCACAAGCCAGGCTACTCTTGACAAAACCAGTCGGGAGAAGAGCAAAAACATCTTTTCCTCTGAGAAAAGCCTCCAGAGCAGTGTTTTGCTCTTCTTTCAGTGAACAAATACTCTGTAATTCCGATAAAACTTGCTCGATAGCCACGCTAACGCTAGTTTCATCGGCTGAAGCCGCCATGTTCTTTAGACTGAACTGTCTCGCTTCTCGTTGCGTCACACCTCAACCCACCTCAAAGCCAACGCTGATTGGACGTTCGTTTGGTGAACGGCTCCAAATTTTCTTTAACGGAGAGTCTCCAGACTGATCTGCGAGTGAAAGCTTGCGAGATCAGGATGGTCTCAGGAGGCTAGGTCGACCCATGTTTGGAAAAACACGCGCTGTTTTCAGTTCGAAAGAGGCTTTTGTTAGCAGGATTTTTAGTCTCCTGCCAGACGGCAGCAGCTGAAAGGAGGATTGGATTCTTGAACATCTTATTACTTATATTACTTTTTTTCTCAAAGCCCTTTTATATGAATTAAGAAGAAAACTTTGCTGAAGACCAATTATTTTACTAGCCTATTTAACTACTCGATTCTACTTGTTCTTTTCTTTGACTAAAAGATTTCCATACCAGGAGACTATTTTGAAAAGAGAGATCACTTTAAACAAGTATACGCCAACTTTAAGGAGATAATGCCAACATTAAAACTATTAAGTTTCTGAAAAGAGATGCTGTCTAGACTTCCTATAGACACAACCAGCGTTCAAGTTAAAGTTCAGTTTATCTTTGTTTGTAGGTATTTAAAACCCCTGACCTGTTCAACTTCCTGTCCTCCTGAGGAAAGAAAGCCTGACTTTGCTTCTCCATCAACCAAATTCCCACATCTATATCTGTCCATTATACTATTCTCATATATTTTTTCTAAGGTTCATATTTGTGTGACCGTTTTTTCTATAATCTTTCTGCTGCTGTAAACACTAGAATTTCCCCATTGTGGGACAATAAAGGGATTCTCTATTCTATCTTCTCCTACTCTGTCCTCAAGGAAAATCTAATTATAAACAGACATTAGATCATCCTTATTTTTCTAGGATTAATTTGGATTCCCTTTCCCAAAAAAAGATTCCCTGTTGTTGTTTTTTTGTGTATCAGCCGATACATGCGTGCATTTGTGTATTCATCTGTGAACTCCTCAGCCGTACTTTGAGAGAACTTAGATGCATGAATCACTGCTTTCTCCTTTAGCCATCTGTTCTTAATGTTTTCTTGGTTTTAAATCTCTTATCACTGTCTCATATTTTTTATCATGTAAAAGGAGGAAGAAAAAGCAACATCAGACTAAAGAATCGGTCCATAAAAAGCAGCAGCACATGTCAGAATTCAGATTGATTTCTAAATTATCTGCACCGTCATCAGCCTTAAATAAACTGTATTACTCATCTAATTCATAGTACTTTTATTTTCATCTTTCTTTTAGATCCAAAGACATCAAGCGTCTCCTGGTGAGCTTCATGTACCTTCAGAGTCTGCTGCAGCCCAAAAACAGGTAAAAACAGGATCTTTGAGCTTCTAAACTTTTTACGTCACTTCCTCTTTTCATCAACTACCGTATTTTCGCGACTATAAGGCGCATATAAACGTCTTTTTTTTCCCTCAAAATGTGTGGCGCGCCCTATGTGTGTTGTTACTGCTGACGTTGTTGAGACCGCCATGAGAACGTTAAAGGGGGGCGTGGATTGTGTATAAAAGAAGAGGTATGTGCTTTATGCAGAACATTGTTGTTTTAACAACCCTGAAAATGGCAATCACCGCATATGGTGATTTTTAAGAGAAAGACTTTGCCTAAAGAGACTTTCCAGCTGGAGTCGTTATTAAGGCAAAGTAAAAGGGCTGGATGGATGAGGAGATGATGAAAGCGTGGCTGAGGGAGGTGTATGTAAGGAGACCAGTTTTTTTTCTCCACGCATCACCATCGCTGTTAATCTGTGACTCCATGCGTGCCATCTCACAGCCGATGTGAAAAACATGGTGAAACAAATGAACGCTGTGCTCGCTGTTATTCCGGGAGGTCCGACAAAAGGAACTTCAACCGCTCGACATCGGTGTGAACCGGCCGTTCAAAGTAAGGCTGCGTCGGCGTGGGAGCGATGGATGACCGATGGAGACCACAGTTTCACAAAAAGTGGAAGGCAGCGCCGGGCAAGTTACGCCACAGTTTGCGGATGGATTGTAGATGCTTGGATTAACGTGTCTGCTGGCTCTGTTGTTCAAGCTTTCGCATAAGGCGGAATCATTTCCGAGGAGCCGCACGGCACGGAAAGTGACTCTGACAGCGAAGAAGGGGAAACTGGCATGCCTGATTTAGCGCAGCTGTTTAATTAAGAAACAGAGGATGATGGGTTTGATTAATACTTAGTAATAAATACATGAATGAAGCACAAACATACTCAGTTTTGCTCCCGCTCTATTTTTAAATACGCAGTAGAGGTATTTAAACGTAGTAGAGGATATGTACCGGTATATAAAACCCGCGCCCTACAGTACGGTGTGCCGTATATGTGTGTGTTAAATACAGAAATGGTACACATAACTGAGACTGCGCCTTTTAGTACGGTGCGCCTTATGGTCGTGAAAATACTGTATTTAAGAACTAGTTAGCTATATGGCTACATGTGCTAACCTAAACCGGGAAAATATATTCTGCCATTTTTTTTGGTGATGTGTGACCTGAGATCTGCAACACCTCATTTTCTTTCCCACAATAGAAAGGTTTAATGATGAAGATCCACCGCAGGTAAAAATAAGACTTCACTCAGTTGTTTACTAAATATATGGACTTTTTTTATGTCTGCCCTTCTCTGGGTTGAAGTTTGATGGAGACGGAGCTGACTTCTCTCTGCCAGTCGGTGCTGGAGGACTTCAACCTGGTCCTCTTTTATCTTCCGGCTCCAACACACGGGGGCGCCCCGCCCTGTCCAAGCGAGGAAGAGGAGGAGCAGCCGCAGCACAGCGACAGCTCCTATCCCGTTCTGCCTGACAACCTCATCTTCAAGATGGTGGTTACTTGCCTGATGGTGGTTCACAGCCTTAAGAGAGGAGGTGTGTGTGTGTTTTTACTTTTTCTATATGTTAATGATCTTTGTTATTTTTTTTAACAGAAATAAACAGATTTCAACAGAATGTTTTTGACAATACCTAAAAACCAACAATAGATCCTAAAAAAAACATCATGTTTAAATACTGGTTTAAATCTTTTATTTCCGTTGGATCATCTAAATAAGGAGTCCTCCTAATCGTCAATCATTCTGGTGATACGTTTAAGGCCGTCGGCCGTTGCTTTAAATCCAGCAAAACTACCAAAGAAAAGCGACAAATATACAGCGAAGTGCACCTAATGTTGAATTTGATAGTAAAGTTTTAAACTGCGATTAAAGTAGTGTGTAAAATTTTAAATGTTTTCACATTATAAAAAATATGCTCACCATCTTTTAGCGTCGTTCGCTAAATTTAGGATCATAAATAATGATCCATTGTTACAGAAGGATGCTCTAAGGATATGCTAGCAACTTTGTTAGCTGTTTCTGCCTCACCTTTTAGCAGCTAGGCTAACATTAATGAGCTCTGCTCAGTTACGGTGCACTCCGATTGCACTCCAAAGTAATGAGCAGATTGCATGTTCTACTGGCAGTTTGAGGTTCAAAGTCGGGTGGGGCGATAAATTGACTATATCGATGTTTCAAATGATTTGTTTTCGAAAGATTTCAGTTTCAAAACCTGGATTTTTTTCATTTTATTTTAAGCTATGGAAGCCAAATCTTCTCCTTTAGCTCCCAAAGCTCAGTTGATCAGTTTTTGTTGTGTGTAACTGATAAACTAGCTGCAAACATTTAGTTTGTTATATTTTCATTGTTTGTTGTGAAAGAAATAATTTTACAAACGTGGTTCCCAGTTTGAATTTTATTGCCCATTAAATTAAGGGACGTTTGAATTCAAAGCCAGTTCTTGAAAGCAAAATATGACATTTGTCGTTGCAGTTATGTAACTCTATGAGAGTGTGAAAAAAATTAAGAGATTTGGTGGGAAAAAAATCAAAGATTATACAATATTATATCATATTGCCCAGCCCTAGTTCAAAGCAATGGAGATTAAGATTAATACTGATAATTAAAATTCATGATAATACTAAATAATATTTATAGTGCACCTCGCAGCCTATATCTGGGTGCTATGAAAAGTAAATAATAAAATTGATGGAGAAAAATAATCTTTAGAATATTTTAATAAACTTGGGATCACATCAAAAATTCCTTCTTTTTTTTTTTGTTTTATTGTATAAAGATTGTCTGCCGTCCTGCTCCAGTCATTTGAGCCAGTCTGTGTAGACATTTTCTTCTTTATTGTTATTCTATTATTTAATCCAGATATGTTAGCATGGACCCAGAATCTCTCTCCATCCTCTATCATTGTTCCCTCCTTTGTGACTGCAGACATTGTACGTGTCAGTTTAAGCCTGACTTTAAGAAGTACTAACAAAGACACATAAAAAAGCATCATAGTTGAGTTTCAGACTTGGAAATTTGCCTAACATGCAGCCATTTTTTCACATTTGCATCTCCTCCATCCATTAATTTGTGCAGTTTGGTCTTTAGAATATGATCTTCATATGAAGCTGAAACTTGTTGCTCCATGCGGCTTTGATACCATCCCTATTTATGTGTGAAATATAAATAGTTTCCTATTGCAAAGCTGTAGGACGAAGTATAAATGGAAAAAAAAACTTTTTGTGTGCACATTTGAGGTCTTATTACCAAGTAGCAACAGAAAGCTATAGACAGAAATCTGTAAGGTTCATTCTGTTCCAGACACAAAAGCTCCTCCTCTGTTTTGTTCTGAGCTAAAATAAGTGAATAATGATCATAAAAACACATACAATGGTCTTTTTTTTTTTTTCCAACTTGAAAAAATCCAAATTTTAATTCTAATTATCTTGTTTTGTTTAAGGATCAAAGCAGTACAGCGCCTCAATAGCTTTCACTCTGGCCCTGTTTTCACACCTCGTGAACCACGTGAACATCCGGCTGCAGGCCGAGCTGGAGGACGGGGAGAGCCAGGTGCCTCCGCTTCACACCGACGCTGCAGGTGAGATGGAGAAGTCCCTCTCAGACAGGACAGTAAAATCACAGTAATGCAATTTTTTTTGCAAGGATGTTTTTAAGGATTGCATTTAAAAATTTTACCTTTTCTATTCAAAGCTGGGGAAAAATGACATTTTTTTCCCCTTTACATAGATGACCTTGAGATGAGAGATTTGTCGATTGCAGAGGTGGATCCTTCCAGGGAGAAGCCTCTGCAGAATGGCTCTCTAGAGCAGGAGGATGAGGAGGACAAGGATGAAGACGGCGGTGAGCGAGCCAAAGTTAAAAAGCTCAGCAGTGAAGAAGAAGACCAGCGGAAGACTGAGGAGGAGAAACAGAGGCAGAAGAAGAAGTACACCCGCCTGTCTCAGCTGCGCCGCCGTCGCTGCGCACACAAAGGTGGTCCAGGAGAGGACGAAAGCGATCTGAGCGAAGGATTCGAGAGCGAAGAGGACGAGGAAGATGATGAAGGAGGAAGGGTCCGCGCTGATTCGATGGGCGGAACGGCAGCGGACGAGCCGCTTAACCCTGGATCTGGGACGAAGGAGATGAGGAGGGATGCCCTGGGTGAGGAAGGCGGCTGGGAAAGCGGCTCTGAGGAAGAGGAAGGAGGAACAGCTTTTGATGTGGAGACCGACTCCGACATGAACAGCCAAGAGTCCCGCTCAGACCTGGAAGACATCGAGGAAAGCGAAAACACAGAGGGTCAGGCCCAGCAGCACGAGGAGGACGAGGAAGACCAACCCAAGGCAAAGGGAGAAGAGAGGGATGGGGAGACTCCTCCAAGCTCCAACGGGCCCCTGGTGCAAAGCGACTCCAGCATCAGCAGCAACCTGCAGGCCATGTCCTCCCAACTCTTCCAGTCCAAACGCTGCTTCCGCCTGGCTCCGACGTTCAGCAACAAGCTCCTGAGGCCTGCTCCCGCTTCTTCTTTGGGAATTCCTGCCCCCACGGAAACCTCTGCTCCTCCCTCCCAGGAGACGCCCCCTCCTCCTGGAGATTTACACTGCGACCTGAACCCTGGTACTGCCAACGGAACAAACGACAATGGTATAGTATATTCAGCCTCTTTATTGACAATTTTAATCAAATTCTGGAGAAAAACAAGTACTTGTTCACATTTAGTCATTTTACAACCATAGATTTAGATGGAGATGTAATTAGTGACATTTTCAATATTATATCAATTTCACAAAACACAATCTTCCATTCGCTGAGGCACTGAATTTTGGTCACTTTACTTTTAAAGTAAAACGCCAGTCACCAAGGAATGATCAATGGATCATTATCTGTACCTAAAACTAATAGGTTCGCTGTGATTTAATGAAGCATTAATCAGTAAAAAAAATAAAAATATTTATTTTCGTCGTGATCACGGAGTCTGGGAGCGGCCATTTTTGCCCAAATATAGTAACCCCTCCCTCCTGCCATCTTCCAGCAGTGACGTCACGGTGCGGTAAGCCTAGCGCCATTCTCCCCGCTTTACAAGCTAAATCAATGGGAACTACTAGACACATCTGCAATCAACAACAATTATTGAAGATTTCCAGAGGACTTCACCATTGAAATTCACCAGAGCTATAGTGAAACTGACAACGCCCACGTGCATGGCAGCTGGATGCTGGAATACATCGTGTGAAAGGGTAAAAAAGTTATTAGTGTTGCGCCGATGCCATTTTTTGGCCCCGATACCCGATACCTGGCTGTGCAGTATTGGCCGATACCATAATAATGTAAAATTATTGCCATCATGGCTTTGTCAAGCTGCTGCCTACCTTTGTGAAGCAGGAAAAAATCTAATACAAAGTGAATCCAGTAGAACTTTTTATTGCCTACCAGGAGTGGGTGACAATAGTTGAATAAACTTTTGGCTCTCAAAATGGTATCGGTGCGCTATTTGTTGGTACTCGCCGATACAGATACCACCATTTTAGGGCAGTATCGTGGCCACGTCCGATACTGGTATCGGTATCGGTGCAACACTTAAAGTTATTTCATCTTTCTGATTCCTGATCCTCCACGGATGGGTTTGTCGTTGGATCGGCAACTTGAAGAGGGAGGATTTGCCATCGAACTTCTGGCCAGAGAAAAAACACGTAATATGTAACCGATCTATGTTCTCACAGTGTTAGAACATAGATCGGGAGCTGTAGCTGCGTACAACCATTGAGACAGTGGATGCCTGGCTTTAAAGTTTTATTTATGGCTCAGTCAAAGTACAGAACTTAAAACCTCTGGTAAATATGTGATGTCCTGCTCTTGTTAACTATACCTTGACTGAAAATCAGGCCCTCCAGATTTGAAAATTACCTTTTGGTAAATTGCGATTATGCTGCAAATGCAATTAATTGCCCAACTCTAGTGCATAACCGTGGCAACCATAGAAAGTTAGTTTTTAACTCATGGGAGCAGTTAATATCTCAAAAGCTGATATAATACTTCAGCTACTTCTGTAAGTTCCAGTTAAGGTGAATAGGAGGCGCCAAGTATGCAGAACGGAAGTAAGGAGAAGAAAATTCAAGTCATTTAAAACATATTAAAGGGGTCAGAATGATTCTATAGGGTATCTGGTCCTTAAGGTCTATGAATAGGGTGTGTAACATTGGTTGGGCTGATAATGGCATATTTGCTGTTCTATGAGCCCTAATGCAGCCTGGTTAAAAGCCCTAGAATGAAACAACATGTTTTCTTCCTTTTATGGTATGATCATGAATATTTAGATGAGCTGTGCTCTGATTGGTTGGTTTACAACGAGCGAAGCTGCTGAGCAAAGACGTATCATAGCAACAAGCACTCACTCACTGAAACATCGAGATTGTAGATATGGTAGGGTGACCAGACTGTCCTCTTTTTTCTGGACATGTCCTACTTTTCATAACTAAAAAAAAATTTCGGTTGGAATTTACAGTGCAGCAGGTAGTCGAAATGAACGGAGCCTTCAGCTCCGGGGTCGGTCCGGGAACCCCGGCGGACAGGGGCTGAGAGCCAGCGGGGGACGGAGCAACCAAACCCGACTTGGTGACGGTAGCCGGAACGCCGGCGGCTCTCTGCTGAGGTTCGGTCCAGTCAGCGGCCCCGCATTCGTCTCTATCTACCTCTATTAATGTTCTTGGGCCAGTGACCAAGTGGGCTGGTCTGGATGTCAATTTCGGGGTGTGACAAAAGTACAGGCGAGAACCAAATAAGGCAACATCCCAGAGTTTATGTCAACTTGGTGCTTCGTTTGGATTCGCCTCTTTTATTGAGGAAGTTTAGAATTGTGAGATTTGCAGAGAAAGGAGGTGTCGATGGGGTTTGAACTTCTCTCTACGTCAATTTCACCCACTGAACTATCGTTATTCATCTATAACACTTTGAAACTCTGTTTGCATTCTATGACCTCTTTAAACATTATGGGCTCTAGCAAGGGGAAGTGCTTTTCAAAACCCTCTCCAGATCCTGTCCTAGACAAAACGCTGCAGAAAATTCCTCCTGTATTTAGCTCTCAACACATATAACAGCTCATGTAAAAAAAAAAAAGAGTTACAACTTTAATTTCCCTTTGGGAAGATATTTCTTCATTTAGTTTATGGTAATACAATTTTTAGAGCTGAGTTATAAAGGCGTAACCTTCCTTCCAAATCGCTCTGCTGTCTCTTTTCACCCCTCTTAGAATCCAGTTAATTGTTTGACTCCATCATTGTCGTTTTATTTTTCACCAGAGCTCGGCTCTGACTCAGAGGAAAGTCAGCACAGCACCCAGTCTGCACACAGTGAAAAAACCCTATTGGAGAAGCTGGAGATTTTGACCAATCAGGGCTTAATGCAGATCGTGAAGGTCTTCATCGATTGGCTCAGGACAAACACAGATATTATCCTCATGTGTGCACAGGTGAGTGGTTTATTAACCCGCTCGTTATGTTTATCAAATAAAAGACTTTGTGTTAACTAACGGAGGTGAGCTTCCTTTCTGCAGAGTTCCCAGAGCTTGTGGAACCGTCTGTCTGTTTTGTTAAACCTCCTTCCAGATGGCAGCAAGATGCTCGAGGCTGGTGAGTTGGTCTCTCACTGCAGCAGCAGTCGTTTTTTTTTTTGCTGTGTTTTGATAAGTTGTTTGCTTAGCTGATCCAGGTGGTTTATTACCATTATAGCCGCTTCGAAATGCTTATCAAATGTTAATGAAGTACAAACATCGTCCTGAACTGCCTTTAAAACAGAAACGTTTTTGATCATTAAGTCTGGAACGGGCTGCTTCCATCATACTGAGAAATGTAATGCTGAACATTGCTTTGTGATCAAAGTCTGGGTGTTTTCTGTTTGTTCTGCAGATCTGGGGTTGAACGCAGAGGTGACAGAAATGTTAAAGGAGTGCGAACAGCCGGGATTGGTCCAGGCTCTGCTGCTGCCGGAAGACGTGGCTCTGCAACACCTCCCCGCTCTCGGTGTAGCTCACCGCCGCCTGGACTTTACTCGACGCAACACCTCCCTCACTCCCCTGCAGGAGGTACTCTCTTTAGACACCAGAATGGAACGTTATGTTCTCTGACATTTCAAATGTCCTCAAATAAACTGACGCCGCTGCTCTGGTTTTCTTCTCTTTAGCCATTTCCCAGATCTTTTCCTTTGAAATATGTCATATTCCTCCTAAACCCTTGGAGTCAAACAAAATGCATATGACCTTCCTCCATGTTTTATTTGCAACATCACAACTAGGTTTGCATCAGTGTTTTTGGATTTTGTTTCTGGAAGCAAAGCCGCAGCTTTAAGGGGTTTATTTTAGGGATGCACAATATTGGGATTTTGGCCCATATGCCGATATTTTAAAACTCATGTAGCCGATAACCGATATCGATACTGATGTTAAAGCTGGACAAAAATAAGTAGTCATTGAAAATAGCATTTCTGACACTTTGAAAAATAATATACTCAAGTATATTTTCATATGCTGACATCAAATTGATTTTTAAAAACGCGGTATCGATCTATTTTACTTTCAAAATCTCGTGAAATGTCATCGTTCTGTTACAAACTATCGTGATATTTTGCAAATTCTTGTGAGATTTTGTTAGTAAAATAGATCGATACCGCGTCAATATATCAACATATAAAAATATGGCAAAATTTTGTGAATTTTCAAGGGATTTCGTAGCATAACGATGACATATAGCAATATTTCATTAGTAAAAGAGATTGATATGGTGTTTTTAAATGGCAATATATCAGCATATGAAGATATTGTGATATTTTAATGTATCAATATTTTTTCCCTCGTCTTTAGAAGTTTTTAAGTCTGTAAAAAAGAAGTTTTTGAGGAAGAAGTAGTATTTAATTTTTTTTTTTTTAGACTTTAGAAACTCAGAAGCTGATCAAATATCGGGTTAAATATCGGTGGGGTGGCCGATGTCCAATATTCAGTTTTAAGGCCGATACAGATAGGGGGCCGATTATATCGTGCATCCCTAGTTTATTTATTTATTTGTTTGATTGGACAGTGCGTGTTAATGGACACACATGAATATAAACACCCCAGATTAGTCCCAAAGACTAATTTGATGTTCTTTGTTTGTTTTTTTTTTGTTTAGATTATTGTATTCAGTTCATTTTATTTCTATAGTGCCAATTCACAACACATGTCATCTCAACCTAGACAGTGGAGAGGAAAAACTCCCTTTTAACAGGAAGAAACCTCCAGCAGAACCAGGCTCAGTGTGAGCAGCCATCTGCTGAGGCAAACTAGGGTTCAAGGAGACAGAAGCAGAGATACAAAAAGCAGCTGTAAAAGGCGGCCCTGTCCAGGAAACACACAGCCAGGGAGAAAAGGTCCAAGCCAGGTCTCATGTCAGAGGATGAAGAGAGCACATTCAGTTAGTCACAGTCAGAGAAACAGGACTACACTGAAAAACAGGCCAACACCTATAAAGGTGTTGATGGCAGCAGCACAGCTGATATTTCTCTCCAGGATGGAGTCACAGCCAAACAGGAACAGACCAGATGAAGCTACTATGAGAAAAAGCAGAGAGAGCAGAACGTTAGAGAATATGGATCATAAAGTTGTTTCTAAGCATATTTTTATGTAATTAAGCCCAAATTGTATATTTATTTTAAAGGTTTCTGCTGTAGGGAAAGGAACAAATCCTGCTCTGTAAAGGCGAGACAGAGAAAGTCCACTCAGCATGTTCACCATCTGCCCCGTTAAACTGTGACTTTTCACACTTTCAGTTTTTTATTTGGAGAAGCTTCTTATCTGCATATCAAATCTTTGAGCACATATTATAAATGTGCAGGTCCTGTTTCTTCTTATTTAGCTAAAAACATGCTCTGATATATACAAACCTTGCTTTTTGTTGTCGTTTTTTTCCCCCTTCTATTCCAGTGTGTGGTGCGAGTCTGTTGCATCCGCAGTTTTGGCCACTTCCTGACAAATCTCCAAGGCAACGTCCTGCACTTCAACCCAGAGGCGGGCATCTTCACCAGCATCAGCCAGTCGGAGCAGGATAATCTGGTGCAACAGGCCAAGGCCCAGTTCAGGATGGTGAGTCAAAACTGAAAAGAACCAAACGTACTGACCCACAATGCACTTTTTCAGCACGTCCACAGTTAGAAATATCAAGCAGCCCTCATTTGTGTGGATAAAATGCTGCAAATAATGGATAGATATTTTTTATTTTGTTTTTAATGCCCTTTGTGTGTTTTTGTTTTTTGCTGTTTCGTTTAGGCTGAAGAGGAAGCTCGTAGGAATCGTTTAATGAGAGACATGGCCCAGCTTCGACTCCAGGTTATCTTTCAGCTCCTGTCTGAAATCAGAATAGAAACACAGCCAGACTAACAGAAGCTTGTTTAAAAAAACAACAATTTTTTTATTAATCTTTTTAAATAAGTCAAATATAAATCCTACTTTTTTCTATTCTTCATGTGCAGTTAGAGGTTTCACAGCTAGAGGGCAGCCTTCAGCAGCCTAAAGCTCAGTCCTCCATGTCTCCTTATCTTGTTCCTGATGCCGCCGCCCTCTGCCAGCATCTAAACCTCATCAGACAGCTGGCTGGCAGCGGCTGCTTCATCATCATCATCCCAAGAACAGGTCAGTGCACCGCATTAGCCGAACAGTGCAGATCAGTAACCAGAACTTTGACTGTGCTCCATCTGTGTCGCAGTGATTGACGGATTGGACCGGTTAAAAAAGGAAAATCCGGGTGCGAGAGACGGCATTCGCTTTCTGGAGTCGGAGTTCCGCAAAGGCAACAGGTTAATGTCTTTAATAGCGAGCTGATGTCTGGGTCTGTTTGGATCAGTGACATAATATTTAAGTAGACCCTGCATTGACAGTTGCGGTGCAGGATTTACGGGCGCCATCTTGGGGAGGTCGAGCTGCTACCCAAACCAGCTGGTTTAACCAGAACAGAGGGAGGATGCGACAGCACTGTGCGGCGTATTTTAGTTTGAATCAATGGACGGCTGGAGGGAAAACTTTGTGTAGTAATCAGAGCTTTGTGACAGTAATTAGAGACAGAGATTTGTGTATATCTGTATAAATATATTTGTGTATATAGTGATGAAAACGTATGGCTATGCTTTGCAACATCCATCAGAATATTCTAATACCAGGGTTCCTGCGGGTCCTTAAAAAGTCTTAAAAGGCATTGAATTCTTCAAAATAAAACTAAGGCCTTAATTGGTATTAAAATGTCTTAAATCAGTCTTTCATAGGTCTTAATTTTTAAAACATCATAAATAGGATTATTTTTATTACGATTTATTTTTGTAATCTAAATAAAACATTAAAATTGACCTTTTTTTATTTAAAAAAAATAACGGCTCACCATTATTGGTTCCGTCCCGATAGCGGAACCAATAAAAGCGTTGTTGCGGCCGGAACATTTGGGAGATGCGCCATTTAATTTTTGTCTGAAAAATATGAGCAACTGTAAATGTCTCCAGCCAAGAGTTTCCTCCATGGCTAAAACCAGGGAACATACATGAGGCTCAGTGGATTTAGTGCAAGAAGCGATTCAAGCTCAGAACGATGGGAATTAAGGCAGTGGAGTCGCACATGCGAAGCACGAAACACAAAGCGTCAAAATGGAGTTACAGAGAAACAGCCGGTATTTCTCAGTTTAGTTCCACCCTTGTCTCTGCAACGCCTCCACTTATCACCAAATCAAACATACCGTATTTTCACGACCATAAGGCGCACCGTACTAAAAGGCGCAGTCTCAGTTATGTGTCCCATTTCTGTATTTAACACACACATAAGGCGCACCGGACTATAGGGCGCATTTTTTATATACAGGTACATGTCCTCTACTACCTTTAAATAGCTCTACTGCATATTTTAAAAATACAGCGGGCCCAAAACTGAGTATGACTGTGCTTTATTCATGTATTTATTACAAATTAATCAAACCTGCGTGCTGGCCATGAGACAGAGACATCGCAGATGACACAGCGCTGTGATTACTCCTAAATTAACTTAAAATCCTGAAACCTGCCGACGGAATATGTTCGCTTTTATTGCCGGTATCCTGGATCCTGCACTGTAAATTATTTAGATGAAAAACACCTGCCAGCCGCCGCGGTGAGGCTGCTGTTGAAGGGATTTCTACTGTCGGTGCACCGCTGGTATGTGGGGGTCTGAGCGCCTCCGACAGAAATAGATAATCTGGATGAACTGACTGCAATTAAGTTTTCAGGTGGCCTTTCTCACTTAAAAACATATTAAAACTACTTTATTCCCACTGATCACAGCAAATATAGCTGCAAGATTTAGATTATTTAGATGAAAAAACACCTGCCAGTCACCGCGCTAAAGAGGAGGAGACCCGGCCCAGAGGCTGCTGTTGAATTAAGTTTTCAGGTAGAAAAATAGAGCGGGAGCAAAACTGAGTATGTTTGTGCTTTATTCATGTATTTATTACAAAGTATTAATCAAACCCATCAAAGTCATCATCCTCTGTTTCTGAATTAAACAGCTGCGCTAAATCAGACATGCCAATTTCCCATTCTTCGCTGTCAGAGTCACTTTCCGTGCAGCGCGGCTCCTCAGAAATAATGCCGGCTTTTGCGAAAGCTTGAAGAACAGAGCCAGCAGACACGTTAGTCCAAGCATCTACAATCCATCCGCAAACTGTGGCGTAATCTGCCCGGCGCTGCCTTCCACTTATCCTGAAACTGTGCTCTCCGTCTGTCATCCATCGCTCCCACGCCGCTCGCAGCCTTACTTTGAACGGCCGCTTTCACACCGATGTCGAGCGGTTGAAGCTCCTTTGTCAGACCCCCGGGATAACGGCGAGCACAGCGTTCATTTGATTCATCTTTTTTTTTTCACATCGGCTGTGAGATGGGCACGCAGCGATGGTGATGCGTGGAAAAAAGCACCTGGTCTCCTCACATACACCTGCCTTTCATCATCTCCCCAGCCCGTTTCATTTGCGTTAATATCATATGTCATCAGAGCGCTGTGTCTGTCTCGCTGTCAGCTCCCAGATCAGCTTCTCTGATTGGTTGATGCGGCGCGTCCAGCAGCAAAACTTCAATTTTTCCATCTCGAGCAGCAGCAGCACGTTGGCGGCGCGCTCCCGACGCGCTGCACCTGCAGCTCAAAACGCGCTGCAGGACCTTTTGCTGCACCTATACGCGCGTCAACCATTGACTTTGCATGTAAACTCGCTGCTTCTGCTGCACCTGCTGGGTCCGGTTCACACCGATGTCCAGCGGTTGAACAGCGAGCACAGGGTTAATTTGTTTCCCCATGTTTTTCACATCAGCTGTGAGATGGGCACGCATGGAGTTACATATTAACAGCGATGGTGATGAGTGGAAAAAAACACCTGGTCTCCTTACATTCAGCCACTCTTTCATCATCTCCTCAATGAGGTGGTCTCAAAAGTCGCAGTTACAACACACATAAGGCGCACCGCACCATAGGGCGCACCGCACATTTTGAGGGAAAAAAAAGACGTTTAAGTGCGCCTTATAGTCGTGAAAATACGGTACTAAGAAAACCATACAAAGAAAAATAGCTGCAAAAAAGACTTAGCACTGGTTATGTTGTGGCTTTAAAACTGATTTGTTTTGTTCCCTGATAAAACAAAGTTTATGAATTCAGTTAAATAATTGTTCAAATATATCTGTCATTTGTGTGTTTTTAGCTTTCTTCCTGTATGGGAAGCTTTTCAAAATCTGAAACATTAGTGCAGTGGTTTATGTTAAAATAAACCTTTGGGTTAAGTTGTCGCAAGCAGGTTTTTCTTGTGAATTTGGTCTTAAATTTTTATTTCAAGTGGCATTAAAAAGTCTTGAATTTAACTTGCCTTATGCTGTAGGAACCCGGATTACTCTTAACCCCACTAAGAATATTTTTTCAGCAAAAAAAAAAAAAAAAACAAGTGTGAAATTTTGTTCAATATTTAGCAAGTTAAAGTTGATAGCCCCAAGATGGCGCCAGCAAATCACATCGGCGCCCAAAGGTGAAAGCAATCAATGTGGGGTCTACTCTTATATTATGTCTATGGTTTGGATCCTTTAGATGATAATTATACATTTAGCCCAAAAGTTAATAGAAATAAGAAAAGATGTTTAATTCTTGAAGTCGTCACAGGTTTAAGAAAGAAGCGATATTCTCACTGACACTGCTGCCTGAAAAATCAAACCTCTTAGTTTGACAGTCGCTGATGTCGGGTCTGTTCTCCTCGCCCGTATCTAGACTCCGCCTCCCCTCATGCAAACAGACTGATGCAGAATCCAGAGGAAATTGGGTAGAAAATCGTAAAAGTTTTCCCCAAATTCTAAGTTTAAAGCAGGCTCGGACTGGGAACGATTTTTAACCCTGGCATTTTTCCATCTACTCCGGCCCACACATTCACTGCCAGTCTAGGTGGCATGTGGGCAATTTAATGGAATAATGTAAATTGATGCAAAACCCCGTCATGCACTGCAACTTATCTTTGCACAATATTCAAACAAAATTCTACAAATATAAGAGGTACATTGTAGTTTGGTTTAAAGAAAGCATTTTAGTTTTATTAAAATTTGTTTGCAAGGATTTTACATTTTGAAGTAATAGAAAATTACACCATAAACCAACCGTCACAATGATGTGCATGACAAGGAAGGGCTATAGATACTGCATGTGTCATTGAGCTCCATGAGTTACACTATATTGCCAAAAGTATTTGCTCACCCATCCAAATTATTGGAATCAGGTGTTCCAATCACTTCCATGGCCACAGGTGTATAAATTCAAGCACCTAGGCATGCAGACTGTTTTTACAAACATTTGTGAAAGAATGGGTCGCTCTCAGGAGCTCAGTGAATTCCAGCGTGGAACTGTGATAGGATGCCACCTGTGCAACAAATCCAGTCGTGAAATTTCCTCGCTCCTAAATATTCCACAGTCAACTGTCAGCTGTATTATAAGAAAATGGAAGTGTTTGGGAACGACAGCAACTCAGCCACGAAGTGGTAGGCCACGTAAACTGACGGAGCGGGGTCAGCGGATGCTGACGCGCATAGTGCGAAGAGGTCGCCAACTTTCTGCAGAGTCAATCACTACAGACCTCCAAACTTCATGTGGCCTTCAGATTAGCTCAAGAACAGTGCGCAGAGAGCTTCATGGAATGGGTTTCCATGGTCGAGCAGCTGCATCCAAGCCATACATCACCAAGTGCAATGCAAAGCGTCGGATGCGGTGGTGTAAAGCACGCCGCCACTGGACTCTAGAGCAGTGGAGACGCGTTCTCTGGAGTGACGAATCGCGCTTCTCCATCTGGCAATCTGATGGACGGGTCTGGGTTTGGCGGTTGCCAGGAGAACGGTACTTGTCTGACTGCATTGTGCCAAGTGTAAAGTTTGGTGGAGGGGGGATTATGGTGTGGGGTTGTTTTTCAGGAGCTGGGCTTGGCCCCTTAGTTCCAGTGAAAGGAACTCTGAATGCTTCAGCATACCAAGACATTTTGGACAATTCCATGCTCCCAACTTTGTGGGAACAGTTTGGAGCTGGCCCCTTCCTCTTCCAACATGACTGTGCACCAGTGCACAAAGCAAGGTCCATAAAGACATGGATGACAGAGTCTGGTGTGGATGAACTTGACTGGCCTGCACAGAGTCCTGACCTCAACCCGATAGAACACCTTTGGGATGAATTAGAGCGGAGACTGAGAGCCAGGCCTTCTCGTCCAACATCAGTGTGCGACCTCACAAATGCGCTTCTGGAAGAATGGTCAAAAATTCCCATAAACACACTCCTAAACCTTGTGGACAGCCTTCCCAGAAGAGTTGAAGCTGTTCTAGCTGCAAAGGGTGGACCGACGTCATATTGAACCCTATGGATTAGGAACGGGATGTCACTTAAGCTCATATGTGAGTCAAGGCAGGTGAGCAAATACTTTTGGCAATATAGTGTATTTAATGCCACAGGTAGGAGCTTAGGCCGAAGAGTAAGTGTTGGGGCCGGTATGATTTAAGGAGGGCCGGCCCTCGGACGCTAAAATTAGGAGCGGCCAACCGGGCAAATGCCCGGTACCCCAGATTACAGAGCCTGGTTTAAAGACCCTGTCACACCTTGAAGATTTAGACCAGTGTATGCCTGACGTACAAAAAATCTGGTAAAAACACTGGCATACGTTGGATAAGTTATGGGTGGGTTTTGTATTAGCTATGAGGATGCTTAAGTACGTTGGCACTAGGGCTGCAACAACGAATCGATAAAATCGATAAAAATCGACTTTTAAAAGCGTTGGCAACGAATTTAATCATCGATTAGTTGTGTCGCGCGATTAATGCGTCATCCGCTGCCGCCGTCATCCGGGGGAAGAAAAAAATAATATGGCGGAGCGAGTCAGCGCTGCAGTTGCAGTGTTGCCAACTCAGCGACTTTTCAGACCCCTCCAGCGACTATTTTTCAAAAAAGCGACTAGCGACAAATCTGGCGACTTTTTACTGTGTCACTGGCGGCTTTTGCCTGCCGTCGGGCGCCTCCCCCATCCCAACCCCTTTCTCCCTCTCCCACAGGAATCCCTCTCAGAGCCGCAGGATATTAGTGAGGAGTTTACCCTCAGCGTCCAGACTGCAAATGAAGCGCGCATGCGCCGGGATTGATCACAATAATTAAAATAGCCTGCGCTTTGTAAAGTTAAAAAAGTCGTAACATGCAACTTTTGTAAAAACAAATGAACATGGCACGGAAGCACCACTGTTATGACGCAGCACCTGAAAAGAAAACACGTTGGAGCCTTCGATGGCAGTGAAGAGAGCTGATCAGCAGGGTGAGCGACCATGCTTGTTTCGTTTTAAAGTGGGGAAACGTTACGTTAGTTTCTCAGGTAGCTCATCTGATGCTTTCCTTACCGTGTTAGTAGGTTACAGACAGTGATAAGGTTGGCTACTTATTTTACTTTTAATTTCATTTGAATTAGCTTACGCAGCGTTTATATTTTCTTTATAAATAAATTACCTTTCAAATTATGAGGGCAAGGCTTTTAAAGTTTAAATCTTCTGGCAAAGATAAAGTAAAGAAGATCCTGCAATTTATGGAAGTAAAACAGAATAAAATCCAGCAAGATCAGTAACATGTCAATTAATTATCTGCCACATTCCCATGTAAATATCTGTCTTTGGAGGATGTGTTTTTTAGCACCCCTAGTTCTCTCATTTTTATTCCAAATGCAATTTATAATTTGAATCACAGGCTATTTTTATCTCTATGGTTCAGTATTTTCTCAAGCAGCAACTTTAACTGCTATACTTTCCTGTCTTAAGAGGCAGAACTCTTCTAGTCTAAAAAAACTCATTTGTTGAAATGGGGGGGCCTATTGTTTGAACCCCTTAGGGGCTTTAAAAAACAAAAATGTCTTTTTTTGCGCTTTATGAAACAAAGTATCCTATATTTTGTGGATGTACAGCTACATTTCTCATGTAAGTTTGCGTAGTTTTAACACAAACATTTATTTTTCATATTGCACCAGTACAGTTAATGAGCAACCTGTACTTGTGTGCTTGTTTGTTCTGTCTAAAATGTTTATTTTGGAATAAAGAGGTTCATATAAAAAATTTTTTTTGTCCGATTCATCGATTAATCGAAAAAAATAATCGGCCGATTCATCGATTTTTAAAATAATTGTTAGTTGCAGCCCTAGCTGGCACACATCGACATACAGCAAGTATGCACGTATACAATGTATGCCTGTGTATGCCATAACGTACTGGTAAGTTATCTGATCACTGTCATACGTTAAGTGTAAGTTACTCATAAGTCATGGCGTCTACGCCCCCAGGCTCATTGCTGCTCCTGAGGGCAGCAGCTTTAACTGATGCTTCGTAACACCCATGAAATGATGCTTGTGGATTACGCTGCTGTGCGTTATGCATAAGTAAGGCTGTTTTTGGACACAAGTTCTGGACTCGTTATGAATACTCTATGTATACGCTAGGGATGTAAATCACACCCATCATGGCGATTCGATTCAGTATCGATTTCCTGACCCAACGATTCGGTTATTTTCGATACTCAAGAATACACCACGATTCGATTCGATTAATCGGTTAATTTTTTTTATTTATTTATTTTTTTTTTTTTTACACCTTACAGGCTAAACAAAGTTTCAAGTTTGAAATAAATCAATGAAAGCTGTAATATCGTTATGCATTTTTTTAAACAACAGCAAATAAGTAGAAAAGTTGCATCAAAAAATACTGCAGAAAATCAGTGCAAAGAGTTCAATTCAATACCTCGGCTCCAGACGTCCCGCCCCCTCCACAGACGCTCCGCTGCTCCTCTCCCAGATTGTTGCTGATCGCAGACAGCGCCGCAGACAGGAGGCCGGCTTGGTTTGTTTTTATGACCGAAATTGCAGAAAACAATTCGTGAAGTTTGACCCTCTAGAAGAGCGAGGTGCACGAGAAAGCTGGGACCCTTTTTCCAGCTGAATCTCCGCTCTTTTTGCCCCATTGTCCCTCCGTCGTCGGACTAAACTCGCCCCCACTTCCTCGCCGCCTCGACCGTATCTAGACCCACAGTGTGTAGCGCAGACCACGCTTCGATATTGAGCATAAATCAAAAATGTCTATGTTAAGCTCACTGCAACACACTGCTATAAGAGTATAACCAGGAAGCGAGGTAGGAGGGCAAAATAGGTTTAGCGCCACCGCAGCACGGGAGGGAGAATTACGCCCTGGAGCAAATGGATAAAAATAGAGTGGAGGAAAAAAAACATGAATCGATTCTCTTGCGGACGTATCGATGCATCGGATCGTCGGCTGTTGGATCGATGCATCGATACAAAACGATAATTATTTACACCCCTAGTATACACCCAAAATTTAAAAAAGTACATAGAAAGTTCAGCTTATGCCAGCGTTGTAGGAGATTCTTGGACATCTGTCATACACTGGGTAAATCAGCAAGGCGTGACAGGGGCCTATCACATAGCTTTATTTTAAAATGTTAAATTAAATCAGGGTTCTTTAAAAATCCAAATCTTGTTATGAAAGCTGTTCTTGCCAAATATCATTACATAGAAGTTCAATTAAGTGACATTAATTTTGACAAGTATAACTTTTGTTCTGTACTTTGATAAGATCTGCGGTTTGTCTTAAAGCTGTAAAAGCAATGAACAGATTTTTGAAAAGAAAAAAGTTAACTGATGTCTTTGTTTGCGTCTGATCTCTTCAGGTACATACGCTGTCAGAAGGAGTCTGGTCGCACTTTTGAAAGAGACAAACTCAAACGGCAGGACATGGAAGCTTGGTAAGCTTCGCTTCACTCTGTCGACTCTTGCTGAATCAACTCCGTCTATAATCGGGCTCCTTGCTTTGATCCGTCTTCATTCAGGCATCTGTATAAGATGGTGGACAGCTGCCGCCAGCTGACGGTGTCCCAGAGCAACGGAGACGAAGACACGGCCGGCATGGTGACCATCCTGACAGGCCATGATGTAGACGAGCTCTGCTCTCGGTCTGCAGCCATGAAGGTCCGTCTCTTTTTCTGTTGTTTTGAAGCATTTCTGGTGTTATGAAGGTGGAGCTGATGGATGTTTCTTATGCTACGTTCACACCGGACGCAGCAGGTGCAGCAAAATCGCGTCTGCTGCTTCATTTTTACTGCTTGTACCAGTTTAGTTCTGACGCGCGGCTGAAGCAGCTTTGCTGCTCTGGCTGCGCGGTGCAAAAGTGTGTCTGACGCGCGTTGGGCGGAGCTACTCTATCCTTTCTCTGCCTTGCAGCTATATTTGCTGTGATCAGTGGGAATAAAGTAGTTTTAATATGTTTTTAAGCGAGAAAATACACCTGAAAACTTAATCAGTGCAGTCAGTTCATCCATACAATCCTGCCTTTCAATATTATTTCTGTCGGAGCCGCTCAGACTCCCACATACCGGCGGTGCGCTGTCAGTAGGAATCCCATTCAACAGCAGCCTCTGGCCGGGTCGCCTCCTCGCGGTTCACCGCAGCGGCTGGAAGGTGTTTTTAAATTCAAAATAATCCAAACTGCAGGCACCAGGATAATAAAAGCAAACATATTCTGCCGGCAGATTTCTGCATTTTAAGTTAATTTATGCGTCAATAAACTGTTTCAGAGGAGCGATCACATCGCTCTGATCATCAGCGATGTGTCTGTCTCACGGCCAGCTCCCAGATCAGCGTCTCTGATTGGTTGAAGCGGGGCGTCGAGTAGCAAAAGTTCATTTTTTCCATCTCGAGCAGCAGCGCGTTTGCGGCGCGTCAGATGCTTAAACGCTCCCGACGCGCTGCTTCAGCTGCGCAAAACGTGCTGCTTCAGCTGCTCAGACGCGCTGCAGGACCTTTTGCTGCGCCTTGACGTGCGTCAACCATTGACTTTGCATGTAAACTCGCTGCTTCTGCTGCGTCCAGTGTGAACGTAGCATTAGAGCTGAACGATGTGGCTTAAAAATCGAATCTCTGATTTTGTTCCATCCAAATATGATTGATTTTATTCTCAAGCTTTACTATGGAAAATGACTTGTATTGCTATTAAAAACTGATTTTATTTTTAATAATCCTCTTTGGAGGGGACCTTGATTTAAAGAATGGGTGAATTCAAGACAACAAACCATGAAAATGTATAAAACTAAATGTCTGAAGCTAGTCGTATTACATGGTTTGCTAGTTTAAAGGTTATAAAAGGCATCTCACTGCAAATTTTGTTGGTACTCGCCGATACCGATACCACTATTTTAGTGTTGGACCGGGGCCCCCGCCCAATACTGGTTTCAGTATCGGTGCAACACTAATAAAACTGCTTTACACTAAAAATTTAATACAATAAGACAGAAGAGAATAAAGTTATGAAGTGACGTCGCTTTGAGCTCCGGTAGCCCGAGGACTGCATTAATGGAGAAAGAAAGAAATGCCGTCAGATTTTCCAAAGATTAAATCATCGTAATAAAATTTAATAAATTAATGAAGTTGCTAAACTCTCATTTTTCCTCTGAGATGATTTTTACTACCAATAGTCTTAATTTCTTTGTACCATTTAATCTACGCTATGGTTTCCAAGTTCCTTGTAAAACTAATTAAATACGTAACAACTTTCTATATATTTTTTATAACCACTGACCTTTTTTAAACAATAATCAGTAAAAGATTTTTTTCAATTATAAATTAAAAGAAAATTTGTGTTTTTCAAAAGTTTTACAACAAAAAATCAGAGAAATATTTTCTTTACCTTTTACTCTAATAGTCCCAATATTGTCAGACATTCATCATTGGATTTAGGACTTTGACTAGGCCATTCAAACATGTAAACATTCTTTGGATGAGAGGTTTTATTGTAGGACGTTGGTTTATTTTGCTTCTTTGCATTCAGGTGTCTTTACGTTTTTGTTTCTGTCTCCTTGAACCCCAGTCGGCCTCAGCAGATGGCCGCTCACACTGAGCCTGGTTCTGCTGGAGGTTTCTTCTTGTTAAAAGGGAGTTTTTCCTCTCCACTGTCGCTACAAGCAGACTTACTGTGAGAGATTGCTGAAGAGTCAATGAGTCAATGCAATCAACTGGTTTTCCTTAGATAGAAAACTTTGAATCAATTTGACTGGATGATCTGGTGAACTGTAAAGTATCTTGAGATGCGTGTGTTGTGAATTGGGGCTATAGAAATAAACTGAATTGACTTTAATTAAATGAAATTTTAAAATTCAAATAAAGAACATTGTTATGCTCCGATAAGTTATTAACCTCGTGAGACCATCCTGATCTCGCGAGCTTTCAAGGTTTCACTCGCAGATCAGTCTGGCTCCTTTCCGTTAAAGAAAATTTGGAGCCGTTCACCAAACGAACGTCCAATCAGCGTTGGCTTTGAGGCGGGTTGAGGTGTGACGCAACGAGAAGCGCGACAGTTCAGTCTAAAGAACATGGCGGCTTCAGCCGATGAAACTAGCGTTAGCGTGGCTATCGAGCAAGTTTTATCGGAATTACAGAGTATTTGTTCACTGAAAGAAGAGCAAAACACTGCTCTGGAGGCTTTTCTCAGAGGAAAAGATGTTTTTGCTCTTCTCCCGACTGGTTTCGGCAAGAGTTTGATCTATCAATTGGCTCCTCTTCATCGTCGCTCTGTTAGTACGTTATATGCTTCGTTGAGCTGATTGGTTTATTTGGCCCGTCTATCACCAACATAGGCCAATCAGCTAACCAGTATTTTCGCCCCTTCCCAAAATTACTTCAACGGAAGGTTTCCAGATGGATATGCGGAGCAAATCCATCTGGCGGAGTCAGGTTAATAAGTTATACCTCCTCCCCACACACTTTCCTGCCAATCAGCCTTAATGTCTCTCCCCTCAGCACCACGGTGCTTCCACCATGCTTTGAGGAGTTACTGTGTCCAAGGTGATATGTGGTTTATTTTCACCACACATCCTGTTCTCAGTTAGGATTTTTAAATCATTTTTTCCATCAACGCATTACTTTGTGTCGCCCTACCACATGGAATCTTAATAATATTGAAGTTTGTACGATTTATGACTTTTTTTTTTATATATCTCTGTTCCAATACTTATGTTTTGTTCTTGTCTTTTCCAGTCAGCGACTCAGGCCGCTTCCTCCGCAGGCATGGAGCTGAAGAACATCGCAGAGTTTTACCGTCAGTGGAAGGAGATCGGCTGAAAGCTCAAAGGGGGGCAGCTGTCTGTGCTGCGAGCAGCTGATCGATCACAACACTCGCTCCCTCTCTCTCTCCCACTCTTTTGCTCTGTGTGTATCTGCGTCTCCAAAAAGGAAACAAAACTCCAAAGAAAGCTGGATGGAAGAGTTAAAAGGTTTTTTTTAAGAGGGCCGGACACGGAAATAAAGCAGAGTTCAAAAAATAAAATAAAAAAATGTAAAAAAGCAAAAGAAGAAACGCAGGCAAAACGACGCTATAAGCAGCAGCCGATCTCCCACCTCTCAGTTTGTTAAACATAAAGCGTGAGCGCCTGCAGCGGTCAGTGGGGGGGGAGGAAACGGTGGGAAGGGCGCTGCAGAGATTCAGGTGCCCCTGGTTCACCTCTAACCAGGAATACACTGTATATGTTAGCAAACGAGTACATTTGTGTTGAGAGAAACCGCACACAAACTCATTCACGCTAAGATGAATCCATATAGATTTTTAGAGCAGTGGTCTGGATGTCCCTTCCCTCTTTCCTTCAGTATGATTTCCTGGAACAGGGTCAGGAATGTGAGTCTGGTTGGGCGACAGGAAGCGGCGCAGCCCGACGTCCGTCGCTCAGAAACAAGCCGGGCGCCTCCTAATTCAACGGCTTTAAGGAAGGATTATAGAAAACAGACTTTTTGTTTTTCTTCTGTCTTTATTTTGCTTTTCAGATATTTTTTTTTCCTTTTTTGTGGTGTACCTTTGTGACCAGCGATGTATGTTTTGTGCTTTTCTTGTCTGAGAAAAGAAAGGAAAAAAAACAAAAATACAGCAGGACTCTCCCTGTCTGAAGATTTTCATTTGGATTTTATTTTTGTACCCAAATTGTTTATTTCGCTTCTCTTTTTTTAAGCTCAATCTGAACGATAAACAGGAATGTCTAAGGGAAGGGGGGGGGGGGGGGGGGGGGGTGATTGATTGTGTGTTGATCCACTGAACCAATCCTGAACAGAAGCTAAAAAAAGGAAAATGTATTTATCAGGCGCCACCTTAAGAGAGAGCAGGGAGCTAGAAGCTGATTGGTGTAGGTGGAGATGATGGAGATCAGCTGACCTGCGGTGGGGGGGGGGGGGGGGTCTGTGGATGTCTGTAAATCCTAAAATGTGTCCCATCGCCATCTCCATAGTGACTGTCCCATCATGCACGGTGCAGAGGAGAACCAGTTTGTGTGGACATGCATTGAACAATAAAGAGAAACCGATGCTGACCTTTTCACGGTTCTTTCTCTGTCTTCTGTTCAACTTAAATAGTTTGTCCACTGGACCCGCCTGAAGTCTGTCTCACAGCACCAGATCTCTCCTGTACAGGACTTTGAGCTTTGCAGAGGTAGGAGTGTTAAGAGAATAACCAAAAGTACACATTTTAACTCCAATATTAAGTTATCAGTGCAAAATTTTACTCAAAAGTAAAAAATTATTTGACGTTCAAGAAAAGATACTTTTTTGTAAGCAGAAAAAAATCGCTTATTGAAATCTTGCACACATACAAGTGTGTCCAAACATTCGCTAAGGTAAGAGTAGCGAGATGTTATGAAGACATTTAGGTTAAAATAAAATCTATGATGCAATGAAACAATTTCTAAAAGTATGTTTATGTCAAAAGGTTTCTGTAGGGGACGCGTCGAGGCCCTGGTCCTCGACAACAGGCCTGATTCAAACCCGGGTCAGCTGCGTCGAGGCCCTGGTCCTCGACAACAGGCCTGATTCAAACCCGGGTCAGCTGCGTCGAGGCCCTGGTCCTCGACAACAGGCCTGATTCAAACCCGGGTCAGCTGCGTCGAGGCCCTGGTCCTCGACAACAGGCCTGATTCAAACCCGGGTCAGCTGCGTCGAGGCCCTGGTCCTCGACAACAGGCCTGATTCAAACCCGGGTCAGCTGCGTCGAGGCCCTGGTCCTCGACAACAGGCCTGATTCAAACCCGGGTCAGCTGCGTCGAGGCCCTGGTCCTCGACAACAGGCCTGATTCAAACCCGGGTCAGCTGCGTCGAGGCCCTGGTCCTCGACAACAGGCCTGATTCAAACCCGGGTCAGCTGCGTCGAGGCCCTGGTCCTCGACAACAGGCCTGATTCAAACCCGGGTCAGCTGCGTCGAGGCCCTGGTCCTCGACAACAGGCCTGATTCAAACCCGGGTCAGCTGCGTCGAGGCCCTGGTCCTCGACAACAGGCCTGATTCAAACCCGGGTCAGCTGCGTCGAGGCCCTGGTCCTCGACAACAGGCCTGATTCAAACCCGGGTCAGCTGCGTCGAGGCCCTGGTCCTCGACAACAGGCCTGATTCAAACCCGGGTCAGCTGCGTCGAGGCCCTGGTCCTCGACAACAGGCCTGATTCAAACCCGGGTCAGCTGCGTCGAGGCCCTGGTCCTCGACAACAGGCCTGATTCAAACCCGGGTCAGCTGCGTCGAGGCCCTGGTCCTCGACAACAGGCCTGATTCAAACCCGGGTCAGCTGCGTCGAGGCCCTGGTCCTCGACAACAGGCCTGATTCAAACCCGGGTCAGCCGCGTCGAGGCCCTGGTCCTCGACGCGGCTGACCCGGGTTTGAATCAGGCCTGTTGTCCTTTGCTACTTGTCTCTTGCTCTGTCAGCCTATTTTCCAATAATGAGCCACTAGTACTACAAAAACCTAAAAAAGAGTTTCTGTAACTGCACAAAGGTAACCAGTTACTACCAACTTCTACTGCTGCCAGTGCTCACCAAGCTCTGCACTGGTGGAAACAGGCTTGTGCAGTTTTTCTTTGCGGAGAAAATAAATCAACTTTTTCTGAATATGCCTGCAAGTCCTTGAGTTTTTGTCACTGAAGCTGAATTTTATACAAATTTTTTTTCCCCACAGAGCTGGTCTCTAATCTGCAGCAGTTGCCTTCCATATAAGGACATTTTGTTAAAAGTGATGACTGCTGCCAGCCTTTCCATATAGCACTTCTTTTTTTTTTTTACAGTGACAGTTTTTATGTTTTACAGTGCAAAATGGAACCCTTTAATTTTACCTCAGGAGGAAATTCAGGTGCAGCAGCAAGAAATTGACGTCTAAAACAGAAGCATGAACACATACTATAGTAGAGTACATGGTCATGCTTTCTTGTCTAGCCCTTAGCATTCTGACCTTATACGAAGGTCTCACAGTCAGACGGGAACAGGCCAGATTAAGCTATTATGGTGAGAAAAAGCAGAGAGAACATAGAGTTAGAGATTGAACTAACAAATACTGCAGAATGGGAGAATAGATCTAGAATGAAGCAGAATGAGAAAAAGGGGTCCCTATGTCCTCCAGCAGTCTAAGCCTATAGCAGCATAACTATAGAGATAGCTCAGGATAACCTGAGCCACCCTAACTATAAGCTTTATCAAAAAGGAAAGTTTTAAGCCTAGCCTTAAAAGTAGACAGGGTGTCTGCCTCACGGACTAAAACTGGTAGTTGGTTCCACAGGAGAGGAGCCTGATAACTAAAAGATCTGCCTCCCATTCTACTTTTAGAAATTCTAGGAACCACTAGTAAACCTGCAGATTGAGAGCGAAGTGCTCTGTTAGGAACATAAGGAACAATCAGATCTCTGATATCAGATGGAGCTTGGCCATTTAAGGCTTTATATGTGAGAAGGAGGATTTTAAATTCTATTCTGGATTTGACAGGAAGCCAATGAAGAGAAGCCAGGATAGGAGAGATATGATCTCTCTTTTTCATTTTCATCAGAACTCTGGCTGCAGCATTTTGGATCAGCTGAAGGCTTTTAACTACAGTTTATGGACTTCCTGATAGTAAAGAATTACAATAGTCCAGCCTTGAAGTAACAAATGCATGGACTAGTTTCTCAGCATCAACCCTGGACATTTTTTTTTTTTTGCAAACCTTTCCATTTTTTATAAGGTTTTTAGGAGTTAAAGAAGGAAATGCTAGAAAACTTTAATATGGGATTTAAAGTGAATGATTAAATTTCCAAAGCAGAAAATTTAAAGTCATTTCTTTCTTATACTCACAACTGACCATCTCTCAAGAAAACTTTCTGGAAGCGCTCTTTTACAGCCTCATCTGTATGGGGTGCCGTTTGGAAAGTTAAGCAGTTAAAAATTAGGAGCAATATTTTTGGTTATTTAGAGTATGTGGAGAGAAAAATAAGGGTTTTTTCAAAGTAATCTTTTTACTATGTCATTCATTAATTTACAAAAATCTTACTTTAAGTAAATATTTAATTTTGAGCTTAATATTTGGTTTGCAAATTAAGTTTGTTAAAAACATATTTAGCTCCAAAGCAAATATTTAGTTCTTTTAAATACATATTTATTTTACAAACTAAATATTTAATTTGCAAACAAAATATTTAATTTGAAGCTAGATATTTATATAACAAACTAAATATATAGTTTAGCGCTAAATACTTTTATAAATATACTATATATATATTTATATTTATACTTTTATAAATATACTATATATATATATATATATATATAAAAATTAGTGTGCAGCTAAATATATATATATATATAAAAAACTAAATATTTATTTAAAAAACTAATATTTGTTTTGGACCTAAATATTTCTTTGAAAACTAAAGATTTAGTGTGGAGCTAAATATTTAAAAAACTAAATATTTATTTGAAAACTAAAGATTTAGTGTGGAGCTAAATATTAAAAAACTAAATATGTATTTAACAAAGTAAGATTATTATAAATGAATGAATTACAGATTTAAAAAATTACTTGGAGAAAAAAATAACCCCCTATTTTTCTCTTAAACTGCGCTAAATAACCACAAATATTGCTTCTAATTTTTGACTGCCAAACTTTAGAAATAGCTCCCCGTACATCTGATGATCTTTTAACTTTTAGCTTTAGAGGACAGGATAATTGAGCTAATAAAGAGTTAATGTATTTCATATCCATGTTGGATGAAAACAGTTAACTGTTATAAAAGCAGTTCTGGACTCAGCAGACTGATCAGCACCCAGAGTGAAAACTGAGAGCAGCTCTTGACATTCCTCCAGTCAACTCCTCGTGTAAATCCTCCTTAGGGCCCCTTTCTCCTCCTTTCTCTGAATCTGGGTCTCTCTGTGCCATTCCTCCTTTTCTTTTCTCCCTGCCGCCCCTTATTGTGCGCCCCTGTGTCCCCACAGGCGCGGTGCCCAGCGCTGACCGAGCTCACAGAATAAATAAGCAGGCCCCTGACAGCAGAGACACACAGGACTGCTGGCACTGGTGCTGACCCAGTTTGGCTCTTTTATTTATTTATTTTTTTTAAAGTTCTTGCTGGGTAAGTGGGTTGAGGAGCTTCTGTGACCCAGTTGCATTAGAGCCTGAGGGTCTGTTGGTGTGGACAGACTGGACCTGGCTGCTGTTTGGGGACGGGATGAGGAATTATTAGAACCAGAACCTGAGAAATGTCCACGCAGGGGTCGGTGCTGGCGCTGGGGAAATGTCTGGCCTGTCTGGAGTTCATGCGTAAGTGACTTCTTTTCATTTTGCAGCTAGTTTGAAACATGGTATGTTAACAGTCTCGAAACTTTTTTTCTGTGCTCGATTGAGAATAAAACAAAACTCATTTTCTCCCCCTGCAAGAAAAAAGAAAAGAAAAACTGCCAGAAGAGTGAGTTTGATCTGGACATTTAGGGGGGTCCCATTGTGTTTTATTTATCTTATTACGGCCAGGGACGGATTTAGGAAATTTGGGCCCTACACTGGAAAAACAATCTAGAAATAAGTCAAAACGTCTTAGATTAAGTCTATTTACCCTTAATGAGTAGGTAAACAAGATGATCTGAGTAATTTTACTCTTAAAATAAGGTATTTAGATAAAATGCAATTGAAATAAGATAATGCAATGGTGTTTAAATGTAAATTGTCTTGTTCCACTGGCATAAGTTTCTATTACATCCTTAATCCAAGAACCAATGTACTTATTTTAAGAAAAAAATGACTTAGATGATCTAGATTTTGATTTTTTCCAGTGTAGGCAAAGACAGGCAGGGGGGCCTCTGAATTGAGAAGAGACACTTCTTATTATCAGCGTTCTGATGGCATTTTACTGAAAAGATTTTTTATCAAAAACATAATTAATATGCACAAATATGGAATAGTTGTAATAACTATACGTGTAAACAGAGTTTTATGAAGTCCAAAAACATGACTGTTAATTTAATTGGCTTCTCTAAATTCTCCTTAGGTGTGAGTGTGTTTATGGTTCAATTCAATTCAGTTTATTTCTATAGCGCCAATTCACAACACATGTCATCTCAAGGCACTTTACAGTTCACCAGATTGTACGGTCAAATTGATTCAAAGTTTTCTATCTAAGGAAAACCAGTTGATTGCATCGACTCATTGACTCGAATGTAATCCCTCACTCCAAGCATGCTTGTGGCGACAGTGGAGAGGAAAAACTCCCTTTTAACAGGAAGATACCTCCAGTGTTGTGGTTGTGTTTCTATGAGAGGCGTCTTGTCCAGGGTGTACCCTGAGTCTCTCCCATAAAAGGCCACAGATAGCCAGTTTATAGATTTTCATATTTCAAAGTCTTGCTGGTATCCAGGATTATTGATCTACGGTATGGCAGCATTTACATTTCTGTAATTTGAGAGTTCGGGCTGCTCAGTGCTGCAGTGGGTAGCCCTGCTGCCTTGCAGCAAGAAGGTTTTGGGTTTGATTCCCGGCCCTGGCTCTTTCTGCATGGAGTTTGCATGTTCTCCCTGTGCATGCATGGGTTCTGTCCTGGTACCCCGGCTTCGTCCCAAAGTCCAAAAACATGTTAATTGGTTTCTCTAAACTCTCTTAGGTGTGATAGTGTGCGTGAATGGTTGTTTGTCCTGTTTGTCTCTGTGTTGCCCTGCGATGGACTGGAGACCTGTCCAGGGTGGACCCTGCCCCTCACCCGTTGACATCTGAAGATAGGTACCAACACCTATCGTGACCCCAGCAGGTATAAAGCATGATGGATGGATAAACTGAGAGTTGCCAAAAGTTTCAGTGTGACCCCAAATATAACAACATTACGGACAAAAATACATAAAATTCCTTCACTCTATAAGTGAAGAAATTATGTTCAATATGAATGAAACAATTTTTAATTGTCAATTAATGACATAATTCACGGTTTTAAATGTTTTTCAATAAGTGTTTGAGACATTTAAATATTTGAATGTGTATTATATAATTTATATTTTGAATATATACATTTTATTTCTACTATTTCTTGGTATATGTATTTATTTTATCTGTATCATACTGATTCTAACATTTTAGAATGTCAGTATTATTTAGTCCTGATTGAAAAATATTGAATGTAGTTCTGAATATGCTGAATTAAACTTCAATATCTTGAATGAAACTGAATAAATGGAATGAAATTCTATATATTGAATGCAAATCTGAGTATATATATATAACTTTTGGAAACAGAATGAAAATTGGTGTGGCCTAAAGGAATTATGGGTGATTTGGTTTCAAAACACACATAGGCTACATAACTGAAGACTGTTGCTCAATCCCAAACCGGCCCATGAACACGAACCCTAAGCATTGATCCTCTGGTTGCACAGAGAACGATTCAGGAAACGGCTGAAAGGCCGTGTTTTCCTCATGTCATCTGACTTCCGCTGTCATTAAACATCTTTACTCAGTTTTAAGCTAAGGTTGTACTCAACACTTTGAACAGGGTGCATGCATGCAAACGTCAAAAGTGACTCTAATGTGTTCCCCATCCCATAGCGCAGCCCTCGTGAGCCCCTGCAGTTAAATCGTACGCCACCTAATGTTTGCTACTGGCTGCAGACTGTGCTTGCAGTGGGGGGTTAGAATGAGACTCCACTGAACAAGTTTTTGAGTACTGACATCAAATAGCCCAAAAGTTTTAAGCCGTACAATTTTGTTAAATGCTATGTTGCTCCTGCTTTTTTCTGTGATTCGAAACAGCATACTGAAATGTTTGGTATAGAGTCGATATATCAACTGGCCGAGTTTTTGGACTGATGTTATTATTTTTTCTTGTACCGCTATCGGCTGATATATGCATTCGCCCATTCAATGCCGCTACCACTATTTTCTTTCTATTGTTAATGTTTTGTTTGATTAAAAAAAAAAAAAGTTCCTTTTTCGATTAAGACTCTTATCATAATTTTTATAATGCAAATGAAGGGAGAGAAGGCAACATCAGCCTAAAGAATCGGACCAAATGAATCGGCAACAACTTGGGAATCGGTTAGCTGATGCCGATAAGGAAAGCCCACATTTTTGAAACTGTTGGTATTTCAAATAAATTAATCTATTCAATTTATCATGATATGATATAAATTTATGAAATTAAATATTTCAAATATATCAATAATATCAACTGAGAGAATGAATTTTGGGTCACAGTCCTCCCAACATTTTGCCCATACTGGGGGCCCCCAGAACGGTTTAGTCACCAGACATCAGGGGCCACAGGTATGAAGTCAGTGAGCTCAAACTGAATGACTGGTAATGATGAGAAGTTTGGCTCTTTTCAAAGCTGACCCTCGCATGTATTGACCGATTAGTGCATATAGCAGCCATTCCTTGAGATCACATGAGGAGAATGCATTGCTACTCCTTCAGTTTGCTATGGTACGGAGTGAAATTTGTTCCATTATTGTCGCGAGCCAAGAATACACAAAAAAGTCGAAAGAAAATATGTAATCCAGAAACGGAACTTTGAAATACACGATCAAAATAGGTTTTTAAAGTGGGTATGCAGTTTTCTAAGATTTTGTTTTTAATTTATTCTTTTTTTTTTTCAGATTTTAGATTTTCAATTTTTTCTATTTCAGGTTTAGAAATTGTATTCTTTTCAAACTGTTATTCAAAGATGACGTTTTCTTCAATTCTTGGGCAGATTTTCCTGTTTCTATTGGTCTTAAGGACGTTAGCAGCATTTTTACAGGGCTTGAAGTTAAAAGAATGAGATCTGTAAAACTCTGTTAGAAAAGAATTAAATTATTGAAACTAAATCTGAAAAAGAAAAATTTTAAAATAAATCAAAAATATAAAATATGTAAAAATTATTTAAAAACATAACATTTGATAGAATAAAATTTGAAAAACTAAAATACAAAAAATAGCAAAACAAAATATTTTTTAAAATAACCTAAGAAAACAATCAAAACCTTTTTCAAAGTTTCATTTCTTGATTTTTTTTTTTCATTATTTGAATCAACAAAACATGTTTTTTTGTTTGCAACAATAATGGAAGAAAATTCACCCCATACAATTTTTTTTATTTATTTTAACTACTTTTTGAACGTTTATTATGACAGTTTCATATTTTTCATATAAATGGATGAAGAAAAATCAATATTTCTTACAACAATTGTCTCAGCAGCACATTCAAAGGATTAATTAAAATAATTGTTATCGGCTTCAGCCTTTAAAAAACTGTATCCATAGCCCTGACTCACTATTAGGTCCTACTAATTCAATGGAAGTGACTAATGTGAATTCCTTTTACAGAAATCCTTTCCATTAAAATGTTTGTGTGTTTAGAGGAGAGCTGGCTTCGAATTTCATTTTATGCAGCATAATGTGAAACAGTCAGGTAAGGAACAATGGAAAGAGTATTGCTAGACTTCTGGAAAAGTTTGGTATAAAAGTAGGCCACCAAATCATTAAGTTAATCCAAAAATGTGAAAAAAAAACCATATAGTTTATACCCTGAACTCCAGAAAAAAAGAAAGCAGAGGATTTAATCATGAAGGAACATGAAGGAATCCATCACTTAAACCAGTAAATTCAGTTTCTTATGTTTGATGGTTGAGCTTGATTTAGAAACATGGGGCAAAAATAACAGTTTTTCCTTCTGTGCTTAATGTGTCAAAGCAATGAACTCAAACAAGACCTCTGCAGAAAAATGAAAAATATGGGACTGAGGACTGGAAGTTTATGCTGCACTAAATCAAACAGGATGTCCTTTCTGGACAAAAGCAGCTTCCTCTCGGGTTTTCTGTGAAGGCTCATCATGATGAAGAGAAATAGAATCGAGTCAAAGAATATTTCTATCAATTCTGTGTAGTTTAGTTCTATTGCAGCGGGTCGCAGCTTATTTAATCTCTAGATGATTTTAATAAACTTTTGTGCATGTGGTTCACTTTGCTCCTGATTAAAACAGGCAGAGTATGATGATCCTATATTATCAACTGGTAGAAAGTTGTTTTTCTAAGGAAGCCCAGCAAATTGCTTTGAATTATGGAACATTGCAGCAATACCCCATTCCCAGGATGCATTGGGAGAAGGAGACCTCTGGCATCACTTAGTGATTATGGGGGCAATAAGGTTAAATTGTTTTGAAGTGTAGAAGACACTGGATACATGAGTAAAACACAGAGCAAGGGGTAATTTCTATAGAAAAATAAAACAAACATCTCAGCCCAGCTAGACGTGTAAGAGCTTTGCCACTTTATATTTAGGAAAAGAAAGAAGGTGGAAAGGTGGTG